ATATATATATATATATATATATATATATTATATATAAATATATATATATATATAAATATATAAACATATGATGTCAACAACAAATGCTTATTATTGTTATTTCCTTTTAGCATAACTGGAACACAAAAAACTTTTCAGCAATGCATCAGGTGGACTTCCTGGAAATGATGCAGCATGCAAATTATGGAGGGCTTAAATGATTAATCAAATTGTAATGAATAGATTATTAAAATGACCACCAACTGATTTAGTAATCGATTGATCATTGACAGGAGTATTTGCTGAAAGAACAACATATTTAAAGCTGTAAAAAGAAATAAATGTCCAAAAAAACACATATACAGTTTGAATCAAAGGTAAAAATCAACAACAAGGCTTAAGTTTTTAGCCAAAAAGAGCCAATTTTTTAAATTTGATTAATTGATTAATCATCAGAATTAAAACCCAAAGATCGTCATATAAATTAAGTAACTCTTTAGGCAAGTTATGGTTAACCAAACAAATTGAAACATTGATTATTTGTCAGAATAATCAGTTACCCAGATGTCTAAAGAACTTTCTTCAGGATAAGACATTTAATAACTTTAAAAATAGAGTTCATAACGTTCATGTATGGAAGTTGCGAAGAATAAAACTGTACAACATAAAAAAGAATGATGGGGAAAGTTTATCAGCCGCAGGTTTTTAGCCAAAGATGCTAAATCACGAGTTTGTTTATGCAACACATTACTGGATTTACTTTGCTTGGCGTAGCGAAGCGTTCCAGGAAACAGGAAGTGGTGAAACATTCCAGCAGAGCTTCAGGCTGCAGTCGTTCCTACGGTTTCCAGTCTCTGCTGGCTGATCAGTGACTCTCCCCTCACCCTTCAACCTGTGCGCATCAGCAAGTTGTGCCTCCATCAATCACTGACACCCTCGCTCTATGAAGAGATCAGCAACCAGCTTGGCCTGATTAGAGCGGTTCAAGTGTCATCTATTATCTTGGTCCCTCTCCCCCTCACAGGAGTGGAAGTTCTCACTGAACGCGCAGAAGCCACAAGCAAGCTCAACCAAACAGCTGTTTTTTAAATAGGCTGGGACGATTAATCAGATTAATTGATTATTGGAATAATCGTCAACTAAGTAAGTAATTAATTAATCGCTAACTGAAGTATACAGACTCAAACAAGGCTAATTGCTGAAAGAACAACAAACTCAGAGCAGTAATTAAGTCAAAACGAAAAAAATTATATCATTTTCATTACAGACTAAAAACTCTATATCCTCTACTCAGTGGCAATTTTAGTTTTTCCTGGTTCAAATTCTGTAAAAAAAAAAAAAAAAGAAAAAAAAAAAACACTCTCCTGTAAGCACCTTTTGCTATTGAATTATTGATCAGTTAACCCAATAAATAGTCAACAAATTATCCATACACTGTGTTGATGTTAAGTCAAGCAGAAAGGGTGAGCTTTTCACAATGCAGCTCCGTTCTGTCCAACAAACCATCAACCGTTCACTAAAGGAATGCTCTGTTGTTGCATTGTAGGCAATAAAATTTTGATTTTATTTCAAAAAGGAATTCAATTATTTGTTTGTTTGAATTTTAAAAACATATTTATACTATCTTACAAAATAAATGAGTGAAAAATCTTAAAATGTCATTTTTCAAATCCAATTAATCGTCAGAATAACTGATTAATTATTAGTTGCAGCCCTACTTTTAAAGCAGCAACAGATGAACCCTGTTGAACGTTTTGTCCTTTTACAGTCAGAGGACACGAAGAGACGAGCTGCACTTTCACCAGATTGGAAAAAGTGAGTTTTAATTTGACAGATTCACCATCTCAGATGACCCCATTGACCCTTTTTCACTCCGTTTGTGTGTTTTGGGAGGATTTGCGCCAATCTCCGCTGGAAATAATCCCTAATAGCTCGGAACTCCTGCGGCGTAGGAGGCGCATTATCTCAAAGTCACACCCTTCCTTTGCAGAACAGGTGTGCAGGTGTAATTTAGCATGTTCTTGTTAACCTGCCTGCTTGTTTTCATCGAGCTCATTGGTCAAGCAATGCGCCACGGAAATGAAAGAGCAGCCTGGCCTAAACCCTCAAATGACTGAAATGGCTCAGCTGGCGTTTAATTTGTGAGGATTCAGCACAACATGTAGGACCATGTGTGTTAAAGGTGACCTATTATGCTTCTTTTAACAAGTTAGGCAGGTGATATAAAACACATTTTCAACATATTTTTGCAGAAAATCCTTTTTAGATAATCAGATTTCTGTGTGCTCAGTTCAGAATGAGTTGTTTTAGGGCGTCTTGTCACTTTAAATCCAAAAAAGCTGCTGCTTATCTCAGTAGCAGCTTTAAAAACTCAACGTTTACACTCACACATGAAAATGGCTCCCAACAGATACGCAATTATACATCTGTACATCCATGAAAAGCAAAAGTGGAGCCTACTGCACAACCAACAAAAATGCAGCATGTGGTTTCTGGATGGTAAGTCAACAACAAAACTCTTGTCTTTTCCAGCAGACACTGTCAAGAGCATATGGAGGTTAAACCAGCTGACCAAACGTGCTGGAGCTCAACTGTGGTTGCTAGGTAAGGGGAACAGCCTGCTGATTTTTGATGTTACATTCTGGAGATTCTGGAAAAGGCTCACTTTCCAGATACCAAAAACATGAACTAACTGCCAGTAATCTGTGCAGAAACCCAAAGGAAGGACAAATTTATGCAAAATGTAAATTTTGCATAATATGTTCCCTTTAAAATAACAACTGACAGATTAAATTTTCTGATTTTTTTTTGTTTTTCCTTCTGCTCATTGTTCAAAGATTACAGATATAGTTGCTTGACGAGGGTTTTTTTTTTTTTGTAAGGTTACATTTTAAAACCTTTGTATGCCTTCATACTGGTCACCAGAAACTATCCTCTCTGGCAAAATACCAAATTCTCAATAATCTGCCCTAAAATTGATGTATAGAAGTTGAAAATCAACAAATCCTGGAGACATTTCAGCCTCGCTTTTCAGTGCAAACATGTCTTGATATGTGGAAACTGCGTCCCCGCTCCCTCGACTGGAGGACCTTCCCTTTAAATATGATATTATGTGACAAGCTTCCCATGAAACTGTGGCCTTGTAGTGACTGGTGTTGCTGCTGCTGCACGCTTCATAATCGTCAGATGACAGAGACTCCCTTCGTCACAGCAGATAACATGCACAGTTTTACACTCAACATAAAAAATTACCATCGCCTTAAAGTTTTACCACTTAGGACCTAGTGAAGCCGTAAAGCGCAGGACCATAAATGGTAGATATCATGGTCATGCTGGAATAGTGTTTAAGTTTACAGGTACCATAAAGAGCAGTGTGTGAATATGGTTTGCAAAATTTAAGCTAAAAAATGGCTTATTATTGGCATTTTATCAATTTTCAGCGTTAGTCTGCGTAACACTTCTTTAGTACCTCATCATTAAACACCTTGTAATGATGAGTTCTCTCGTTAAGGCTGAAACGACTAATCGTGATTAAGCAATATTGAAATAATCATCGATTTATTTACGATTAATCGTTGAGATTTACAGCCTGCTGAGAGAACAACATACTCAGAGCAGTAATTAAGTCAAAACTAACATAACAATGTGGATATTTAGCATTTATGGTTATAAAACAAAAAAAGAAACACAAAAAGAAAAACCTTAGTCTGTAAATATGTTCTACCAAAAACTACACAAGTGAAATTTTAGCTTCACCCAGTCTAAAGAAGCACCTTTTCCCATCCAATTATTGATCAATTGATCTAAAACTAATCACCACATCAGCCCTCCAGTGGCTTGGTAAGTCAAGTTACAAAATTCCTTGCAAATATTTCTAACAAACTCTTTGATTATTATGTTGAAGAAAATCACACACAAAAAAAAAATCACGAAATTGTGGAGTGACTGATCAATGAGAAAACAATATTCAATAATATTTAATTTTAGAAAGAATTTATCAAATTGAAGAAATAAGAATTTAGGAAACACTGCCACCTAGAGGTGAGCGTTAGCGTCTCTGACACCTGATGTTTTTTAACCATTTTTGAGGAAATTTGCAATAAACTCGCAAAAAATATGGGGATCTGTCATCTAGAATAATTTTCAGCAAGAATCCTGAGAAACTGCATGCGCTTACATGAAAATATCTTCAACATAATTACATTTTAAGACGTAAGAAACACTGCCACCTCCAGGTGGGAGTTAGAATTACTAAAAACTAATATTTTTGACAATATTTTCAGAATATTTGCAGTAAACTTGCAAAAAAAATTACAAGGATCTGTTCTTTTAGCGCAAACGTCTACAATCATGGAATTGTGAAACCTTTGAGGGACTTATTCTTGTGAAAAGATGTTTATTATAATATTTAACTTTAAAAATAACTCAGCAAATTGAAGGTACATGAAGAAGGAAACACGACCACCTGCAGTTGGGAGTTAGCATAGGTTAAACTCAAATTTGCGATAAACTTGCGAAAAAATAGAGGGATCTGTTCATTTAGCGTAAATTTCTTCAAATACTGGTGTGAAAAGGTAAAGAGACAGATTCATGGCAGCATACAGAAAAAACCGCTTTGCTTTTTAACCACACTACTGTTATCTTGAAGGCTCTGGAGGGCCACATGAGAAGTTAAGGCGGGCCAAAATTGGCCCCCGGGCCTTGAGTTTGACACAGAGCTTCTTATTCAAAGCTTAACGCAGCCCGCGCGTAAAAACCCGCAAGCTGCCAGCGCGTTTCTCGCCACCGCCAAATCAGGGTCGTCGGCCGCGATGCAGAAGCAACAGCCTGACCCGATCGGGTTAAATCAGGAAATCAGTGGAAACCGCTTGCGCAACAGTGGATGCTGCCCATCTTATGACCCAAGGTTAACGCCAACTGCTCCAAAAACAGGCGAACAGCGAGGAAAAGTTCGGATTACGGGGAGGAAATCTGAACGTCCCGACATGTGGATGTGAGAGTCCGCACAGCGCGGGACTCACCGCATGGATATCAGATTTCCGCTGCGCTCCGAGCATCAAACGCCACTTGACTGTCGGGACACAAGCGCGCACACGCAAAAATTAAAATAATAACAACAACAACAATGAAGCCATAATCATTATCTTCATCACAGAAACGAGCGTGAGGGAAAGTCAAACAGACTTACCATTTTTGAAAAATCTCCTAATGCCTTCAGAGTCCTAAAAACGCAACGTCGCTCCAAGCTTTCCTCGAATAACCGCGTATTCCACTGCAGAGCTGCCGCCGACGCTCTTTCTCTCCCTCTCTCTCTCTGCCTCTCTCCTACTCCCTCTCCCCCTCTCTCTCTGCCTCTCTTTTTCTCCCTCTCTTTCTCTGCCTCTCTCCTACTCCCTCTCCCCTCTCTCTCTCTGCCTCTCTCTTTCTCCCTCTCTCTCTCTCCCTCTCTCTCTCTGCCTCTCTCCTACTCCCTCTCTCCCTCTCTCTCTGATTGATTCAACGTTTCCAAGTGCTGCGCTGCCGCCGCTGGTATGATGGGAATCGTCTCAGAAATCTTCAGGTGGATGCAACCACGGACTCTTCCTGCAGCTGCTGCTGCTGCAGTCTCATCATTATTTTAAATAATAATAATACAAAAGAAAACAATCAAAACATATGCAGACCGCATGCATTTCATGCAATATAGTCGGATAGTTGCAACAAATCCAGGGCAACCTCTCCTGTGAGGAGCATTTGCTGCGTGGCAACACAGCTCCACCTGTGCAGAGCGCCGCTGCCACTGCAGACACAATCACATCTATCCTCCCTGCAGGTGCATGTCAATAAATCACAGAATATTATCGAAAAGTTCATTTAATTACAAATAAAGTTGTATATTCTAAGCATGTGTTTCTATTTATGTTGATGGTTTTAAAGCAAATTAAAAAACAAAAAATATGTTTGTGAAAATGTTAAATATTCTGGCATGGTCATGCGAGAATGTTTTAATCATGGCAGATGTTTGACTTATAAAAAATTAAAAACAATCCCAGAAATCTTACAAATTTCTGAGCAAAAGGTCAAACATTTTTTAAAAAAAAATTGATTTATCTCATAATTTTTCTAGATAAAAATTTTAATTTGTGAATTTAAAAAAAATATCAAAATTTTAAACTTTTTTCAAAGAAATTTCTGAGCTGAATCTCAACATCTGTCAAAAATTTTTCTAGCAAATTTGAAACTTTTCACACAAAGAAATATCCAAGTTTTTTTCTATTAAATTTCTAATATTGATCTCAAAATTACAGAATTTTTGGCAAAATCTTAATTTTAATGTGTTTTATACCATTTTTCTTTTTTTTTTAATATATAATTGATTGTTCGTGATTTGGACTATGAGTCCGTCATAAAATCTATGTCTTGTTGGAGCTAAACATTTAGTGGAAGGAAAAACTGACTATCAGAAGGAGGTTGTTTCTCTCAGTTTGTTGTTTCTGTGTTAAATAAAGATCAAGTAAATAAAAAAATGAGAATTGTGGGGGCAGTGCTTCCACAAGAAACTTTTAATCTCTTCATTTGTCGTTAAACTAAAAGCCGCCCCTTCAAAATAAAAGCCTAAACCCAGAAGTTAACCATGACTAAAACTAAAAGAAGGCAAAAGAAAAGATACTAAAGGACACTAAATCAATATCAATATATATGGCGATAGACACGTGATCAATATCAATAGATAAAATAATATAATAAGCAAAGTTGGTGACATCAACTAACGCTCTCATACTTTGGTTACCTAGCAACAACCTGCTGAGTAACTTGTGCAGCAGCAGTTTAAAGTTTCCCCACAGAGCATCATAACTGCTTAAAAACAAAAAACAACAGCATGAAGTAAAACGTGATGAACAGGAAAGGTCATGCAGCCAGTTTGTCAGTATTTCAGACATTTAAAACAAAAGAACAATCAATAATTATCAATATCGACTGATATGAAATGCCAATTTAAATTTAGTTGTTACTCATAGATGATATCAGAGGCGTTTTACCTGGGCTGAGCTGGAAAGAGACTCGGTTCTTCTTTGGTCCTGGAGTCTGGATGGAGAGCGAGAGTCACAGTCAGTGATTTCTGGGTCCATGTGATCTGCTGGTGTTGGTTCTTTATTGGCTGGTGAACTGGTCTTGATCCGACCCGCATAGCGCGGATCTACGTATTGTCAGCAGGAAGACAGGACAACCAGCTGAAGGCCGCCATTAAAGCAACCAGCAATCACATTGATGCAGTTATTAAAGTACAATTAGCACCAAGAAAGGAATCAACGAACTCACTCACATTTCGGTTACCTAGCAACTCAGTCAGTCTTCGGTTACTTAGCAACAAGCTGCTGAGTACTGGTGCAGCAGCAGTTTCAAGTTTTCCCAGCATGCCTCATGACAGCTTAAACATAAAAAACTGTGTGCATTTGAATAAAGATATGATACAGAATATGATTTTTTTATCATGAAAAAAGTAATATTTATGGTCTTTTGTTTGGCAAATGAGACTGAAATATGTTTTAGTTATAAAGTGTAAGTGAATAATAAATTGGTTTCCTTTACCAATTTGATTTGTTAAAATGATACTAGATTAACTGAATCTGTCCAGGGACTGGAAACTACACTGCAAAAACACTAAATCTCACAGAGAACTAGTGTTTTTGTTTTATCAATGTTAATAAATTATTGACCCAGGCATTAAGTGTAGAAATTTTTTTGCTTTATTTTTTCTTTATTGAACATTAAGCAGTAATAAAGTTTCCTGGAAAGAAACATTTTTGGTATTTTTTCATTAAAATGAACAAAAACACTTAAAAATCCTTTCTATCTGCAAAGAATCTCTATATGAGCTTCAATTCTGAATAAAGTTACATTTTGAGATGCGCTGTGTAGCCGGTCTCTGTGCTTTTCCTCTCCTGACGGAGGAGATGTGCGGCTGTTCCAGAGTGAAAGCAGTTTATCAAAGACTCCCCAGGGACGGATAACAGAGGAAAACGTAAAGGTCAACTAAAAGGGAAAAGGTCGGCTGGGGACTGAGCCATCAGTCACTTCAGCAGGGAATTAAAAGGGAGGCGGCTGATTGTTTGAAACTGATCACTGCAGACCATAAACGCCTCACAACAGCAACCGATTAGCAATCGCAAGTTGGTCAGTTTTTCCTGCTTTGACTCGTCAACTCTGAGAACAAAATGTTAAAAATATTTCGACTAACATTCAGTTCTTCTGTTTACGTTTCACATCAAACAAACTTTTCTATCTAACAAAGATAAACGAGGAAATGCAGCAAGAGAAAAAGGTAACCAGCTGTATGTGGGAACTTAGCTGTCTCTGATTATTGGCAGCAACAACAAACAAATTATTTGTAACAACTGGGAAGATTCTCCATGTTTTCTCCACATTTGGATAATGATTCACACTGTAGAAATTTGTTGGGCTCCCTTTGAATTTCTTTAAATTAGAGCATAGTGTTATGCTTTTTGTTGTGAGGCATTCTATTCATTTGAGATTGGTGCTAATAAGAAACTTGCTTTCTTAAACAGGTTAGGATAGGACTAAGGGCAACCCCCCCCCCAAAAAATTATCCCCAGTTAATTAAATTTTAGCTTAATCAGTCAGAATGTGATGTTTTAAGGGTTTTTGTCACTTTGAATCCAAATAAACTGCTGATTGCCACAGCCCCCAACTCAATGTTCACATTTGCACTTAAAAGTAGATGCAAACAGATGCGCAATTATACAGCCGTACATCTCTGAAAAGCAGAAGTGGAGCCTCCTGCACAACTGACAAGAAAGCAGAAAGTGGTTTCTGGGTGGTAGGTCAACAACAAAACACTTGTCTTTTCCAGCAGCCATTGTACAGTGCATACAGTGGTAAAACAAGCTGGAACACTTGGGTTGCTAGGTAACATTACAGCACCTGAATGTGATTATTCAGGAAGTGTTTGAAATACTCATTTTCCAGACACCAAAAAACGGCTGGGTTTTTTTTTTTTAATCGCTTGGACTGCTTTTAGAAGCAACTGAGACTGAAATGGCTGGACAAAAGATATGTCCTATTTAAGAATACTTTAAAAAAAGTTTATTTCCTTACTAAATGTAATAGTTTCTTGAAAACCTCTCTTTGCATGCTAATGGATCAGTTTGGTGATTTAGCACTTGTGTGGCCGTATAAAGTGACAGATTGTGCTGACTTCCGCTGTCAGTGGTCGTAATGTGATGCCTGATTGGTGCATGTAGCGAGTCTGGATGCAACAGGGTGGCCGACCTGTTTCCTCTCCAGCAGACATGGAGAGAGGATCAGCATCCGCAGCCTGTCCCGCTGCTGCTTCATCCCAGCAGCAGAGACTCTTCCTCTGAGCTCTTGCATTGCGTCGCTCCTTCCTCCTCCTCCTCTTCCTCTCCCCGCCTCCCTCGCTCTATTAAATTTCCAGTCACACAACAGTGCAGTGGATATCCCTCCCTTTCGCTAAGTCTCACCCTTCCCCTCCAGTCCTACATACCTCAGTAGTTCGTGGAGGTGTTTTCCTGTATCTCTCCGTGTCTTGTTATTGATTGTTCTCTCCCTTCGTTTGGCTTTGAACCTCTCAATCCCCCCTTCCTCCTCGGCTTGTTATTTAAAAAGCTTCCTCACATTTTCTCCCCATCCCGCCCCTGTTTGTCTGTCTGTGCTGCAGTGTCTCCTCCGGCTGCGTGGTGTGGAGCGTCGCCTCCCTTTTCACTTTTCGTGGCGTGTTTGTGCAGCGCCAGCTGACTGAGTGGACACCGCAGACCGATAATGCATAAAGATGGGAGGATGAATGCGCCTCACATGCAGAAAGCTGCTGCCTCCTCCTGTGTTCGGTTTGCTGGTTAAGTCCGCCTCTCTGGACTTCCACACCAGTTGCTGCACTGGGGCGCAACCAGTGGCGCAATAAGTGAGTTTGCGCTGCTGACCCTTTGCAGCAATGTCACTAAATCCCTCGAGACGTCATGATGGGCGTCGGAAGTGGCAAAAACAACTTCCCAAAGTTGTTTTAGCCATTTTATTCATAGCTTCTTCTTGTGTGAATCGAGCTAATGTGTCTGTTAACGTGACACACCTGGTTGGGGCTCACACGCGGTCATATTTACCGTATTTTCCGGACTATAAGTCGCAGTTGTTGTTTTTTTTCATAGTTTGGCCTGGGGTGCGACTTATACTCCGGAGAGACTTATGTGTGAAATTAACAACGCATATTATGTCATATCACATGCTATTTTCACACTAAACTGCAAGAGGGCGCTTTAGGCCTGTGTTGATAATGTGTGTGGTAGAAGCTACCTCCAAAGTTAGCGGATTTGTTTATAAGTGCCACCAAAGATGAAGAATTAGTGATTTGGAGTAACACGGATGGTTTGGTAAACTTGTTAGCATGTTATTTATGCTATAGTTATCTGAATAACTCTTAATATGTTATGCTAACTTACCAAGCACGTTCTCAGTTTGTTGTTTGTCATGTGACGTTAGCATACCGTAAAATTGTTCAGCCTGTGGTTTCTATTCTATTTTTTGTTTTAAATTGCCTTTCCAGATGACACGTCTGTTCTTGGTGTTGGATTTTATCAAATAAATTTCCCACCAAAATGCGACCTATACTCCAGTGCGACTTATAGTAAACTCAAGTATTTAGCTCTTAGCTACAAATTTATGACTTTTCAGAAATTTAAGTGCCACGTAGCATTTTTGTTTACCTGCAGATGCCACAAATTACCATTTACTAAAGAATGCTGTGCTAGTACTGTACATTAGCCAATAAAATGCTTATTATCACTTCCACCTCTTCTTCTTTTATGGCAATTAAGAGTTCGTCGCACTGCTGGTGTGAAGTCAGCTTTAATGAAACTCTTTAAAGACGTTCTTATCACAGCTTCAGTTTCCCTGACACCAACACCACCGTCGAACTAAAACACAACGTAAACTTAGTGAGATGGTGTCAAGAATACAATATCGATATAAAAATAACATAAAACATATAAACATACCTCGCTGGCTAACCCTTCCTTTTGAGGTAGAAATGAGGTCATTCAGTAAATTCTTACACTTAAATCATGTTTCTTCATCTGCTTGCCAACGCGATGCTGTTATATCGCAAGCGTCTCTGGTAACCTGGTAACCAGACGCTTCTACATCTACTTCCTACCTTAAACCTTCAAAATAAGAGTCTTAACAAAAAACTATAAATAATACAAAATAAAATCTGTACATTAAAACTTTGGCAGTAAAACTCCCACCAAATCACAAACCTATGGTGATTTCAAATAACATACAACATTAAATAGGAATATATTTACATTTTAACATTTACTCTGCTTCCAGTAACAACACAGTTTTATGAACTGGTCTATCAAGATACACTGGCTTGACAGTCCTTTTTCCATCCTTATCCAAGATCGAGTCACTTAGTAACAGCTTCACCTTCCTGATCCTTCCATCTGCGCTTGTATATACTTCTGTTACTCTTGCCAGTTTCCACTTGTTCCTTGGAGAATTGTCCTCTTGAAGAATAACAATGTCGTTTACCTTTGCATTTCTCTTGTTTCTTTGCCAGATTTGTCTCTGTTGAAGATTAAGAAGGTATTCTTTCTTCCACCTTGTCCAGAATTTATTAGCTAAAAACTGAACTTGGCGCCACCTCTTTCTCAGGTACAAGTCCTGGCTTACAAATTCACCAGGAGGAGGCAGAATAACACTGGACTTCATCATGAGAATATGATTTGGTGTGAGAGGCTCTGAACTTGGATCACTTAGGTTTTCTACTGTTAGCGGCCTGCTATTCACGATAGCCATCACCTCATACAGAAACGTTCTGAGGGAAGAACTATCGAGTCTCTTATAAGTTTTATCCAGAATAGCAGTTAAAACGCTTCTGACAGTCCTAATCTGCCTCTCCCAAACACCTCCCATGTGACTTGAGGATGGGGTGTTCAGAACAAACTCACATCCATATTGTTTCAACTGTTCTTTGTCACAGTCCTTCAGTGCATTCAAAAACTCTCCCTTAGCACCGACAAAATTTGTTCCTTGGTCACATCTGATTTGTCTTACATGTCCACGAATAGAAATAAAACAACGCAATGCATTAATAAAAGCATCAGTAGTAAGGTCATCTAACATTTCAATATGTATTGCCCTGGAACACATACATGTAAACAAAAGACCATATCTTTTTAGTTCTTTTCTGCCTTCTTTTACATAAAAAGGTCCAAAACAGTCAACACCACAGTAAGAGAATGGGGGGGTTGTTTCCATTCTGTCCTCTGGTAGATCTGACATCTGTTGATCTTGTGTATGCCTCCTGTACTTTCTGCAGGTTGTGCACTTGTAGATGTGTGAAGCAACTGCACTGCTGCATCCTGTGATCCACAGTCCATTGGAACGCAGCTCGTTGACAGTAATTCCTCTTCCTTGATGCTGCATCTTTTCATGGAAGTGTTTAATCAGTAAAGATGACACATTACTTGATTTGGGAATAATGGCAGGATGTTTGATGTATGGGTGCAGACTTGCTCTTGTTAAACGTCCTCCCACCCTGAGTACTCCTTGCTCATCAACAAATGGGTTTAAGCTATGCAGCCTGTGTGTCTTATCCTTGAGTTGGATGTCTTTTCCTTGGGTTAAGTCCTTGATTTCCTTACTGAAGGTGTTTTCTTGTGCAAGTTTTATTATGAATAGTTCTGCTTCTCGTCTGTCCTCAACACATGTGTTTCCACCTTTTGCTTGTGTGTCTCCTTTAAAATCTCTCACAAATTTCCTTAGACGAGCAATAGCTTTAACAGCTCTTCTCCAGTCAGAAAATTTATTGAGACGATCAAGTATTGTTCTCCTTTCTTGTACTTCTGTTTTGAGCACATGTACTGTTTTTAGCTCTCGATCATTAGGAAAAACTCCAACAACCTTGTCAGTTTCGATGGGTAACTCACTTTGCCACAAAAACTCTGGTCCTTTAAACCAGTTAGATTTGAGAAGCTGTTGGACACTTAGTCCTCTTGATGCATGGTCTGCAGGATTATTTTCAGATGGTACATGATGCCACTGATGTGGATCTGTGAGTGACCTTATCCTTTGAATCCTATTTGCCACAAACACATGAAATCTTTTGGCATCATTGTTCACATATCCTAACACCACTTTGGAATCTGTCCAGAAATATTCTTGAAGATTGCTGATTTCCAGTTCACTTTTTAGCATTACACTTGTTCTTGCTGCAACTACTGCAGCTGTCAATTCAAGTCTAGGGACAGTAGTGACTTTGGTTGGGGCAACACGTGCCTTTCCCATGACTAGTGCACAATGAACATCCCCTTTGGATGTGACTGTTCTTAAATAGCTACATTGTCCATAGCCTGTCAAACTGGCATCTGAAAAACTGTGTAAATCACACTGTGTGATATCTGTGTTTTCAGGTAGCATACATCTTTGGATTCTCACCTTTGACAAGTTTTGAAGATCTAGGAGCCAGGATTCCCACTCTCTGTAGAGCTGATCTGAAAGAGGCTCGTCCCATCCGACTTTCTCTTGACATAACTGTTGTAGGATTTGTTTTCCTTTTAGAATGAAGGGTGCCACAAATCCCAGTGGATCATACACTGATGCTACTGTGCACAGGATTCCTCTTCTTGTCATTGGGTGCTCTTTGACTTTTATTCTAAATTGAAACTCATCAGAAGAGATGCACCACTGAACACCAAGTGCTCTTTCCATCAGTGGCTCTCCAAGTGCTAGATCCAAATCTTTAATACTATCAGCACACTCCTCTCTGGGCAGTGATTTTAACACATTTTCACTGTTTGATACAAACTTGTGTAATCTTAGTTTAGCTGTGTTACACAGCTCTCTTGCTTCTTTGACTAGTTTTATTGCTTCTGCTTCTGATGTAACACTTACAAGTCCATCATCTACATAAAAGTTTCTTTGAATGAACTTTACTGTGTCTGGAGAGAACTTTCCCTCACCTTGTGTGGCTAGATGTTTTAAACCAAAATTGGCACAACCAGGTGAAGAAGCTGCACCAAACAGGTGAACCTTCATGCGAAAGACCGAGGGGGGAACATTTAAATCACCATGCTCCCACCATAAGAAGCGTAAATAATCCTGGTCTTGAGGTGTTACATTGAACTGATGAAACATACGCTCCACATCGCACATTACAGCCACTGAGCCTTTCCTGAACCTACAGAGTACTCCCACCAAAGTGTTTGTGAGGTCAGGCCCTGTAAGCAGGTGTTCATTCAGCGAAGTGTCCTGATATTGTGCAGAGCAGTCAAAAACAACACGGATCTTGCCAGGCTTTTGAGGGTGGTATACCCCATGATGGGGAATATACCAGGCAGGGGAATTACAGATTTCCTTCTCCGGTATTTTCTCTGCATCACCACGTGCAATAATGTCCTCCATGAACCTTGCATAATCTGAGTAGTACCTTTGATCCCTTATGAATCTGCGTTTGAGACTGCTTAAACGTTGCATTGCACTTGACATGTTGTTGGGAAGATTTGGTCTGTCACTTTTGAAAGGCAGAGGCATTTCATAATGTCCATCTTGCTTTTGTTTGATTCCTTCATGCAGCTTTCTTAGGAAGCAGACATCTTCTTGTGAAATGCTTGTTTCTTCCACTGCTCTCTCTGTAAAATCTAATTCAAGTGCTTTGATTACATCTGGACCTGTTACTTCTTTCATCTGTGTCTTGCAGATGTAATGAACTTTATTCTTTAGCTTTGTGGTTGGCTCAGTCTCTGGTATTACTTGCTTTACAGTGATGCGATGACTTACTCCAATTACATCGCTGCCTGCATCACACGAATCACAGTAACTTATGATGCTCCAACCCAAATCTGTTTTCTGGGCATAAGGCTGGTTTTCTTCACCACATATGACTTCTCTGGGCATTAAAGCTTGTGTGCAATTATAGCCTAACAGGAGTCCTATCTCACAGTCCAATAGTGGAGCAATGTGTTCAGTGAGATGTTCCAAATGTGGCCATGACCTTGCTGTGTCTGGAGTAGGAATATGGCTACGATTGACAGGTATAAAATCACGTGTGTAAGCAACTGGCACAGTGAGTTTCCTTTTGGAAAACAATCCTCTTATTTGCAGAGCTTCAAGTTTTGTACATGCTACAGTTGTTTTCTTGGATGACATTGTAGATAATTTGAGATTAACCTGGGTTTTAGCTGTGTCCAGGTTGTTTGCTACTTCATTAAGAATAAAAGACGAATCACTCTGTGTGTCCAGCAGAGCATAGGTAAGTATTTCTTTGTGTGGCTCATTTTGTGTGGATACATAGACAGGTACTATTGCAGATGTCTGTGTGTTTCTACTTTCATGAGTCACTCTGTTAGATGTACTTTCATTAACTTTCGTTGTTTCTTGTGATTGTGTTACCTGTTCCTGGGTTTCCTTCCCTTCAGCTACTTCTTGTTCTTTAGGTTGTTCTTTCTTTGTCTCGTGTCTTTGTCTTTCTTCGTGCAGACATGTGGGATGTTGTTTTGAGCATGTGTTGCATGTCATCCGATTGCTGCAGTTCTTGGAGAAGTGACCACTGTTTAAACAGCCAAAACATAGTTTTTCACCTTGAATGAACTTGACTCTCTCAGTGACTGGTTTCTCAGTGAACTTACGACATTTGTGTAAGCTGTGTCCTGCTCTTTTACAAAATACACAAGAGATCATGCTTCTTTCTCTGGAGTTAGTTGTGAAGATGTTCGCTGTATTTTGCTTCTTATGAATGGGTGTAAGTAGAGACTTGGTCTTTGGTTTGTCAAAGTCACTTTGTCTTATAGCTTCATATGATGTAATGGGATTACATGCAATACTTGCCTCCATTGACAGGAATGTTACAAAGTAACTGAAACGTGGGAACTGTCTGTGCTCTAACTGATACTCTGTAGCCTTTCGGTTCCATCTGTTGCTTAACCAGTCTGGCAGTTTAGCAGCAAGTCTTTGATTCTCTATTGCATCATTGAGGATGTTCAGGTTCTCATTGGTAATCATTGCAGATTGACAGCTTTGTAAGAAATCCACAAACTTTCTTAAGTCTGCACTGTTTTTACCTTGGAGCTTTGGCCATGTGTGCAACTTGTCCCTAAAGGCCTTAGCAATAACAAAAGGCTCTCCATAACGATCATTGAGCATATTCCATGCTGCCATATAAGAATCTTCAGAGCCAATCAGAAAATAGCCTTCTAAGGCTTCTTTAACACTCCCATCTACATACTTCTGTAAGAAAAATATCTTTTCTGCAATGGGAATATTCTTTCTCTCTATTAGAGTCTGAAAAGATGCCTTCCAATGTTTAAACTTAAGTGGATCCCCACTAAATATTGAAGGCTCTGGAATTGGTAGCCTGTTAGCTGACATAGCTTCTGCCAAAACTTTTACAAGCTCACCTGTGCTCTCGTGAACGACATTTAACTGTGGTGGTTGATTGGCAGTGTTCTTCATCTCAGTTACCTGTATGTTTGCAGGATTCGGAGTGATTCTTTCTTGCTTTACTAAAAAGTAGTCTTCTTCATAAACTTGTAATTTTGCCTTTGCTGCATTGAGTCCTTTCAGATTTTCCAGTCTTTCAATTTCTCTTTTTAAGTCCTCAACTGATCTTTTCCTTGCAGCACTTTCTTCTTGTTGTCTCTTTATCACAGCCGCCTTCTCCTTTTCTCTTTTTAACTTGCGTTCTGTTTCCTCTCTTTCCTCTTGATGGCGTTGTGACATCGCAGCAGCTTCTTGTTCTGCAGTTCTGAGTTTGTCTTCTTCTTCTATGGTTTGCATTTTTTCTCTAATTCTCTCTTGTTCAGCCATTATCTTAAGCACAGCCTTTGTGGCTTCATACTCTGCTACAGCTTCTTGTCTTTTGGCGGAGGAGCCATTAGAGATAACTGAACTGGGTTTAAAATGACTATGAACTGAGACACTACTTGAGCTAGAAGATGTAAATATAGAACTGGCATCAGGCCAAACAATCTCCTCCTTATTTGTTCCCTCAACGTGGCACTGGATGTTTTGCAAAACTAACTTAGTCACTGATGTACATTTGTCTAATTTGGAACGCATATCATGAGGTGGTCCATCTATTGCTCTGTATTGATCATAAATATCATTAAGAGCGGCTAGTTCTCTTTGCACAATGTCCATGTGACCTTCAAGAATGTCAAATGGATCTCCTCTGATAACAGATTTTTTAGCAACTTTAATTAATGCTTTCCATCTGTCATAGGTACTTTCAAAGTGACGCTGCAGCCCCTTTAGTTTTTCTTTATGAAATTCTTTTCCTTTTTCCGTTAACATGCGAGATCTTTCACTTCTACGTAGTTCTTCTTGCCCAGGTTGCTCTAAAGAGGTTCCATCTACTTGCTCTGCTTCGGCAGCTTGTTCTGCACTGGCAACTTCTATTTCTGTTTCATTTGTTTCCAACATTTTACTTTACTTGAAATCTTATGGACTTCTTAATTGGTCAAAATTTCCTTTTAATTTAACTTAGATTAACTCTGAGCTTCGTTGCATTACTTCCCTTCTCGTTACTTTGTTGCGCTCTTGTTGTCAGGCTTCACACGGTTCCTTGTTGTTACTCCTTCCTTGTGTCACTTTCCAAACATGAACTTAAATGTCTGGCTTCTGGACGTCTTTATGAAGAAGCAACCGTTGAACGTGTGTCCGTTAACATTTGCAACTGACCGATCTTGATGCCCGTTAATATTGTCAACTGTCCAATCTTCGTGCCCGTTAACATTTGCAACTGACCGGTCATCGATGCGACGATGGGAAAATCGTGCAGCTCCGAGTTCGACTATCACTTCCACCTCTTCTTCTTTTATGGCAATTAAGAGTTCGTCGCACTGCTGGTGTGAAGTCAGCTTTAATGAAACTCTTTAAAGACGTTCTTATCACAGCTTCAGTTTCCCTGACACCAACACCACCGTCGAACTAAAACACAACGTAAACTTAGTGAGATGGTGTCAAGAATACAATATCGATATAAAAATAACATAAAACATATAAACATACCTCGCTGGCTAACCCTTCCTTTTGAGGTAGAAATGAGGTCATTCAGTAAATTCTTACACTTAAATCATGTTTCTTCATCTGCTTGCCAACGCGATGCTGTTATATCGCAAGCGTCTCTGGTAACCTGGTAACCAGACGCTTCTACATCTACTTCCTACCTTAAACCTTCAAAATAAGAGTCTTAACAAAAAACTATAAATAATACAAAATAAAATCTGTACATTAAAACTTTGGCAGTAAAAGCTTATTTTAAAAAGGAATTATTTGTATTTTTAATTCCATTTAAGAGCCAAATTGTTCTTATTTGACAGAAACAACCGATTATAAAAACAAGCTACTGCTAACAGAGACACTGAAAAGGCGGTAATAGCTGGATAGCGGGTGGAAGCTGATGGATGGGTGAAGAAGCGAGGCTCCGCCGGAGCTCCGGAGGGCCGCCGGGTGATGAAGGGATGAGCTCCAGCCTCTGAGGGACTACTGTCTGTCTGTGAGTCCGTGTGAAAAAAAAGAGATAAAAAAACGGGACTGGAAACCCGGAGAGAGACTCAAAAACAAGAGCCCACTGTCACTGTCTCTTAGCAACCGCGTTTCCCAGGTGACACGCAGCCTGACGTCACTTCCTGTTGGAAGCAGCGACGTGCGGCGCGTGTTCCTCCGGCCTTTGCTCTGCTTTCAGGATTTCGTTCCTTCTTGAATCCCATAAAATGCATTCAGAGGAGCTCGCGCGCAGCGGGCGTATAGACTGACGGCGCCCGCTGTGCGCATGCGCGCAGCCTGATTGCACACGATGCCAGTGGAAACGTGGCCAACTCCCGCCATCTGGTAGGACTACTTGGCACAGCGAGGCCCGCGATGGTTTCTCGACATATTGGAGTAGTTAAAATTAACACTGTGACACTATTTGGCAGGAAAAGACACCAAACTATCTATTAGTGGATCCATTTCAGCTTCACCTTTCGAGTCCAAGCTGCTGCAACACAGAAGCTTCGGTTGTTTGTATGTATGCAACCCAAAAGCTCAAGAGTTTTTTTTATACTCAATTTTATTTCTTCTGCAAAGACTTGACTTGATTATTTAAAAAACAGAGAGAGAAAGAAAATGTCTGGTGTGAAAAATGAAGGATTAGTTTCCTCCCTGTTTCACTGTTTCCGTAAAAAAAAAAATCCTAATTTTTCTGCCCCCAATTAACTCTGGCAGCTCAGCAGGGCTAAAAAAAGCAACAACATGTGGCTTGTTTAATTAAATTGAACATTTAGAGAAGACAAAAAAAAAAAAAAAAAAGGAAATGCAGAATTATAACTCCAAATTGGAAAGATTAAACTAAAAAAATAATAAAAAATCAAGATTCAAAAGTCAATTTTGGTTCCGGACCCTCAGAGAAGGTCCCTGATGACGTCCTCGTCTGTGATGCTGGGGACCTGGGGCATCCCAGGTTGGGGTATGGGCCCCCGCTGCCCTCCAGACATCAGCATCTGACCTGCACACAGACATACATGAAATATTCAGGAGCGCCGCTAATGGAAAAGCTCAGAGCGGGTTTGTTTGGACAAAAACCTGGAGCCAAAATGGAGGGGAATTTATACGATAGCATGCAGTTTATCCTGCTTTTTTTTGGTCACACTTAAGTGTTTCAAAACAAAAGTTAGACAAAGTGAATGCAAAAAAGATGCAATGTCAAAAATGTATATAATTTCTGTAAGTATCGTGGAATTGACTGATGGTTCAGTTGATTCGGTTTGACTGGGAACCATTTTCAGTTGCTGCAGTTCAACTTTCACACTAACAAACTAATTGTAAAACTTGTTCCCCTCCTCGCCTGTGGGGGCGCTGCACCAAGACCCACTGAAGAAACGACACGAAAGACACAAAAATGGAGTAACATAAAATTTTAATGGTTAGTGGTGAAAAAGATGATAAAGCATTTCTTCCGCTAAATTTTTTGTCATTTTAAGGCAGAGGTATCCAAAGTGTGGTGCGGGGACCATTTGTGGCTCCTCAGGACAAATATGGCGGTCTTTGATCACAATTCAGGCATTAAACACAAAGTATTCATCCAGAAATTTGTTTTGAATTCATTTCCTTTTAATAATTATAAAAAAGAAAAACAACCAGTGGGTTTAACTAAAATTCAGACCTGGCATTTTGGCTTTATAAGCTTATCAAAATAAAGCAAAATGGAGTTATATTCTGTTCTCGTTACTAAAAAGACAATAAATAAATAAATAAATAAAATTTAGAATTTGCAATTTTCTTGAGATTTTTTATTCTGGGAAACTTACAGGACCTTTTTTTGTGTTAAATTTACAACTTACACATCTTTACAGAAACCTGACTTACTTGTTAATTTCCTTAAAATATTGTCTTTTAATTTATTTTTTATCTAGCAAGTACAATTGAAAAATAATAGTTTTTGCTATTAAAACTTTGCAGCCTGGTGTTCTTTCAATTTTTATGCTAACAAGTTTGAATATCAGCGTTTTAAAATTGTGTCTTTACTGACATTGTGACTAAACTAGTAAATGATCAAAGATTTTCTTGTCTGGTCTTAATACTCTGTCAAACAAACTCACAAAGGGGATAATTGGAATAAAAGCTACTTTTCAATAGATTATTTGTAATGTATTCTTTAGAGAATTTTGACAAAAAATTTAATTCTTGCTAATTGCTGCTGGCTAGTCTGAAGGAGCTGAGCGGGGGAGTTCTAATAGAGAGGAATCTGCCTTTTTCCATAAATATTTTGTCATTTTATCTTTATCTTGCTGTGAACAGTTGTGCGTTTGCTGACCTGTCATTGGCTGCCTCCACTGGTTTTGTATTTGAGGTCCTGCTCCTGGTGTCGGATGCACCATCTGCTGCCCCATCGCTTGGTGGGACATCATGTTCGGCATGTGAGACACCGCACCCTGCTGTGAAAACACACAACAGTAACAATGTTAGATTCTACATGCATGTTTTTGGAAAATTTAGCATGAAAAACCAGCTTTCTGTTGCTCTCACCGGCTGTTGCTGGCTGAGCAGGAGACTCCGGAGCTGCGGATTGGCTCCTGGATTCGGGAGGCGGAGAATCGATCCCTGTGGCTGGGTCTGTCCGCCCTGAGCGACCTGATTGGGTGGAGCTCCGCTGACCGGAGGCTGCTGATTGGTTGGTCCTGTTGCTCTCATCGTCATCTAAATGCGTTAAATGTAGGTTAAAACAAACCACCAGTGATCATTTTAAGCTGAAAACACAGAAACCCCCCCTCCCCCACCCCGAATGTTTTCACACTTTATGTTGCAGAATCAGCCACAATATGAAAAAAATGGCAACTTATAATCTGGAAATACGATAATATCATTCCTCCAAGGATAAAAAAAAAAAAAAAAAACAATTCCTGACAGTAATAAAACATAAAATACAAGTTTAACATCATTTTCACTTTATCCAAGGAAATTATGTTTGAGATCAAACTGGAAGAATTACGTTACAAGTTATTTTATCACCTGGAAAAATTGATTCACTCTCTATTAAATGTAAAATCAGCTTGCCGTAGGTCAGCACCCATAATCTAAATGTACTGTATAAAGTTAATTAGCTTCATGCAGAGACAATAAAAACTTCAAAAAAATTATAATTTTAAAAATTATAGGGCCACACTGACGAATAAGAGGTACGAGAATAAAGACATGTGGGAATAAAGTTATAATTATGAGAATAAAATCATGATATTATGGGAATAAATAAGTAATATTACAAGAATAGTTATAATTTTACTAGAATAATTACACATGAATTATAAAGTCATAGTGTTACCAGAATATTACCTTAGTAATATTCTTGATAGTTATTTTCTTAGTATGTCCCTCATCCTCCAACATTTTACTGAGAGCATAATGTGATACTACTTGGAAGTTGCCCTGGTCCCTTTAAATAAAAGCAACTTAAATCAATCACATTGTTGACAAACCACATCAGCACCATGCCAGTCCATGCCTCCAGTTCACGCATGCATGAAGGAAACCGAGCCCAGCCCGGATGAAAAGGTGGAGGCGTTAGTTAGTTGTTCTCACCATGCTGCTGGGCCTTTGCTGCTCCTCCATAATGGAGACCTGACTAACGGGGGGCATGCCCACCACCACAGACTGGATGCAGAGCCGACCAGAGAGGAGCAGAGACAGTTACCAGTAAGGCATGCACCTCCGCAGGCGGCCGCCGGGAGGAGAAACGGAGCGGCTCTGGAGCCGCCTTTGTTTACCTGCTGCTGGACGTTGCTGTGGGAAACCGGGATGGGGCCGGGCGCCCGGTTCAGAAAGTTCTGGTTGGTCGGGACTTGATTGGACTGCATTGGAACCCCAGCTCCACCTAACTGCTGCAAAAACAAAATACATAAAAAAGTAAAAAAAATCAGTTATTTTTTTTTTTTATTTAGATTTTTTTTTTTAAAGAAGAAAAAACCTGAAAATAAAATCCCAATAAAATACACGGTTTGGGTTGCAATGTGGGAAAAGTGCAAAGGGATTAAAATAAATAAAATCTTGCCAAGTATTTTTGGTTTAGTTTGAAGTGCAAAAATCTTAATATACTTTAAATAAGAAAACTAACTTAATAGCAACTTTTTAACCAAAAATCAGAACTTGTTTTAATCAATAATTTGTTAATTTTGATAGAAAAGAACTAGTTGTAATGAAATAATTATTATAAATGAAAATTCCTTGTTCCACTGGCACATTATTTCCCTTGTAACTAATAATTAATATTAAGGAATTATTGACTTGAAACAAGCTGCTATATTTTACTGAAAAGTTACTTGTAAGTTAGTTCTGTCTTATTTCAAATGTACTAAAATATTTACACCAGAAACTAGAACTGAAAACAAAAGGCAGAAATGCTGCTTGGCAGTTTAAAGGTTAAAAGATTCCTGCAGTAAAAAATTATATTCATACCCCAAATTAAAAAAAAAAAGCATAAAAGATGTTTAAATGTGCAAAATGATTCCTAATTGGAATAAAAGTCATTAAACTTCTGCAAATCCTCCCAGTCTGCTGTTTATATGCACACCTTCTGCTGACATAAAGTGTATTTACAGCACATATTTTCTTTATGCAATTTACTGTGTTACCAGCGTTGAAAGTTTGCACGGCTGCATTTACACCCACTCTGTCAGACAGCAGATGGAAAGAGAAAAACAAACACTGAGAAGAAGTGGAGATTTTACTTTAAACCCCACCTGCGCGGCGTTCACACCGTTTCCAAAGTGGAACTTTTAGCTGATTTTTTGCACCTTGCCGTGTGACCAAATGTTCTGAAATGGTCTCTAAAATAGTTTTATTCACACGAAATCTGACGGTGCATATCGCTTTGCCATATGATCGACAGCCGGTGTTGAAAACAGACGAGGCCAGATCATAAACTATGTTGCCTAAAGTATTCGCTCCCCAGCTTTGAGTCACAGACGAGTTTAAATGACGTCCTAATTTTAATCCTAATCCATGTGATGTTGGTCCTCCCTTTGCTGCCAGAACAGCTTCTACTCTTCTTTCTGGAAGGCTCTTCACAAGGTTTAGGAGTGTCTATGGGGATTTTGACCATTTGTCCAGAAGTGCATTTGTGAGGTCACACACTGATGCTGGACGAGAAGGTCTGGCTCTCAGTCTCCGCTCTAATTCATCCCAAAGCCATTCTATTAGGTTGAGGTCAGAACTCTGTGCAGACCACTCTCCAGCATAGACCTTGCTTTGTGCTCGAAGGAACCAGATGCAAACTGTTCCCACAAAGTTGGGAGCCTGGAATTGTCCAAAATGTCTTGGTTTGCTGAATCATTTAAAGTTTGTTTCACCGGAACTAAGGGGCCAAGCCAAACAGATTTCCTACAGATCCTGGTCAGGGTAAAACTCAGCAGGTTTAGGAATCTGGATGGAAATTCGTGAAGCATTAACCTCTCAGAGTAATGAGTTACAGGCAAATAAACTGGATGGTCTCAAAACTAAAAATTAGCTTCCATGAATAAACTGGCCGAGACAGACAGAGTGGTCAAATATCATGCAGGAATAGTTTCAGATGTTTACTAATGCCAGAAGTTGCAACCTGCTCAGGGTCATTTCACTAAATATGACCAGTGGTGTGCATCAAAGTTTCAGACTTTCAGCCTTGGATGGATTACAAACAAATGAGACACCAAAAATGAAGCTGGACATTTTAAAGCTACAATCCACGGCTATATTTTTATTACAGTGACAGATTTACACTGACACTAAAAACACAGCTGGGTAATGAGTTATCGATTCTCTCTGCAGGATTTCAGAAAATGGCTTTTTAAAAACAACACAAACTTCTGGTATCCAATTGTAATTAGTGTGTATTCTGGATAATGACATTAACTTGCATTAGCAGATGCTACGGCAGAGGAGAAACTTTTCACAGATTTCAACAGAATCTGAATTTTTCAGGTTTGATTTGAGTTGCAAGCGGCCAGTTTTCAAATGTTTTGGTCAGAAATCAACTCCGAGGAGTCGAACTGGGCTCAGCCCTCCCCTGTGACTCCCCCACTCAGCTCCTTCAGACTAGCCAGCAGCTATTAGCAAAGACCTGGTGGAACAGCACAGCTTTAATATATGAGCTACTTCTCAGTGAAATGCAGATAAAAACGTCCTAAAAGGGTTAAAAGAGGAACGTTGTTGTAATGATTTCCAGTGGGTGGTCTTTAAGGCACAGCAAGAGTTTTTAAAGAGAGAGAAACCCAATTTCAATGTGTTAAATTAGACGGAAACATTTCTTTCTTGTTCTTTTAGGCCAAATTTGACCTTTACAGCATTTATATAACAACTTGTCAGCACATTTACTTTATTGTTATATAAAATGGCAGAAGGAAAAAACACACTGCCTCTTTAAGAGGAATTATGATTGTTTACCTTTTGTGATGTCATCCGAGCCAAACAGGCTCGATAGCATTTTTACATCAAATCTTGGTTATGCAAGAATTTCCAAGAAAAGCAAAGAAAAAAAATGAGCAAGACGTGTTTGACAGGTGAGAAACTACATCAACAGAAAGTTTGGTTGATTTTGCAACATAAAGTGTGAAGCAGCTTTAAGGATCAAAGTTCTGATTCTTTAGAAATGAAAACTAACAGCATCCAGATGCAGATACCTGCACAGGCTTTTAGATTTAAAATGTGTTGTGATGGATTTCACACTCAGGGAGACAAGGGGAAATGAAGGGCATTTCATCTCCACACCCAGCAAAAAAAATTATTAACTTCAGACTCAGGAAAGCGTGATGGAAAAACACCTTCACCCATCCATCTTACTGAATCTGAACAAATCACCCAGGGATGCTGCTAATACGCAGCGCGCTCTCTGACCAACAACAGCCAGGAAACACACAGCTCTGGGTCTTCTAAGAAAACTAAACACAGCTTGTTTCTCCTCCGCCGCCTGTGATTCATCTGCTGCCTTCAACTCGGTAACCTGCATCGCTTGAAACGCCATAATACTCGAATCTGAAAAGGGAAGAATGCCACTTCTGCTAAACAGAAACCTTAACTACTGGTCCAAATTGAATTTTAATTATGCTAAGATTGCTGTAGCACTTCCTTATTAGCAATGCAGCTCTGAATTTGTGATGATACACAAGAGGCAGAGGTAGAAAAAAGTCTTCATTAAAATTTCATGTCTCCTGCCTTCTCTAAATGCCCCGATACTCGTACACACACGACTTATGAGTCACATATTGGGCTTCTCGCAAAGACATGAAATTAGCGGGATGGTTAGACAAGAGCTATCAACACCGATGATATCAGAACATGAGGAGTAATGTAATCTGAATCATGTAAACTCGCCAAGCAGCTTTATTTTTAAAGAGCAACATGCTGCTTCCCTGGCAGCTCGCCGCTTGTTTAGCAGCCGTGCAGCGAGAGGAGCTGGAGAAACGCCATGTGGCGGGAAAGGTGGCTCATCCAGAGGAAATGGTGAGCAGGCCGAGAACCGGGAGCGTCAGATCGTATGAAGGATCGGTTCTGCTTAATGATGAAATTTACACACCTTGAACTTAAAGCTGCAGCAGAGCAGCTGGTGTGTCATTAAGACGCCATTCGGATATTTAATATGAACTTGAACTATTCTTGACAATTAATATGGGTAAGCAATTATGAATGCATGGATAGATGTAGAAAATAAATAAAACCAAGTTCACATGAATAGTAATTCACTGGGAGATGCTGTAAATGTCAGAGGACGTAAAAATAAGTCCATATTTCACTCCTTTGAACATGTAAATATACTTTACTACTGTCCTTCTTTTGCTTTGTTTTACAATTACTTTGTTTTTATATCAGTTTATTTATTCTTTATTACACTAGATTCAAATAAGGTCAAACCATTAAAGTAAAAAAATAAATAAATTGGCTGAAAGTTTCTGGAGAATAAAATAAATAAAGTTACTGTTAATAAATAAATTACAAGAAAGTATTAAAGTCAAGCTAAGATTTTTTTTCAACTCTAGAATAAGATAAAAAAAATAAATAAATAAAGTAATAATTTTACCAAAACAAAGTTGTGATAAAACGAGAAGAATAGTCAAAATAACTCAGGATTAAAGTTGCAGTTTAAGCAGAATTGTAGTGATAGAAAAAAGCCAAATTATTCTGATAATAAACTTGTAATATTAGCAGAATAAAGTGATAATAAAATGAGAATTACATCGTAATATGAATATAAAAATTTAAAATATTACCAGAATAAAGTCTTATATTAGGAGAATGAAATAGTAAAAATATATTTAAAAAAATATTAAGCATCTTGTGAAGTTGTACTTTAGGATACGTTTCAAAAATATAAAAATACTTTATCAGTTCAGCATCAGAATATTAACAGTAGCAGGACTTTAAAACAATTATTTCAGATCTTGATAACTATTGAAGTTTTTTTAATAACCTTAATAAAAATAACCTTTTTTTCATAACTTTACAACGATTTTCCAGAAATATTGAATCTTTATTTCACTAATATTATAGCAATGCCCATAATTTAAAAAAAGACATTAAAAAAAGCTCTTATTCTCGCTGTAATAGTCATAAAATTAGGAGAACACCAGATTTTTCTTGAAGTGTTTAACATCAAACAGCAGTGAGTTACGAGAACACGGTTCAAAGAGCCGTCTGAAGCCTTCACAGAAAATCAAAGCCGTTTATGAGACTTATAAGGGATTTAAAAATTATATCGTTCATCTCATCACAAAAAATTTCCCACCACGAATGATAAAATCCTATTAATAAAACCTGAAAACTGACAGCATTATCTCCACTGTTATTTTTATCCTGTTTTATCCGCCGTTTGTTACATGAAAGCATCAATAAATCAGACAGTGCGATAAAGTGTGCAGCTCAGTGATCAGAATCAGAGTATTTCATGTCCTGAGGAGCCGCCTGCCCACTAACCGCTCACCGCTCTGTGCTGCTGGACCTGCTTGTGGTTGGTGATGACCTGCCGGATGCCGTTGACGAAGCCGCTCTGGTCGTTGGGGATGAGGCCCATGAAGATCTTCTTCTTGGAGGAGTAGAGCAGCATCAGCACCCGCACTTCACACGGCGAAGTCGTGTGGGGGAAATGCACACATCCTGCCTGTGGAAATATAGACAAAAAATACATTTGCACATCATTTAGTCCCCATTTCAGGCCTAATTTTGTAATTTCACACACTCATTTTTAACACATCTGTCAAAACCATATCAAAAATCAGGTTGTTCTTAAAGGGCCGGTTGATAAAACCTATTAAACAGTTAAAATACCAATAAATAGCTGTTTCAGGATTCAGTAAACGTTTCTTAAAATTAAATAATATTGAAGATTTTTCACACTGATCAGTCCACAAGCCACAAAAACCTCTGAAGACGACACTCAGCGAAACTTCCTTCTTCATGAAATGGAAACAAAACGTAGTAGCTGTAGGATTTTTCTTTTGGCAAAAATAAACATTTCTTGGACGAGATACCCACATTTGTTTGGTTGCATGTACCCAGAATGCCCTGCGCTATGTTGTTTTATTCAACTCTTTGTTTAACTATTGATGCCACTGGAGTTTTTATACTTTGTGCAGCCCTTTGCTGAACTTGGGCTTACCTTATTCATGTAATTTACCAGCGTTATTTCTTTTTTTAATTTATTCTGCACATAGACGGCTCTTCTCAAATGACAACAGAACACAAATTGTGGATTTTTCATTGTATGTTTGTGTGTTTCATTGTCTTTTTCTTGTTTCCCCCAGGATAGAAAAGAAAAACAGAAACAATCAGACTCGAGCTTCATAAACCGAATGCAAATGGAGTAAATTCATAATGCGCCTTTGGTGGAGCTTATAGTGAATTAGAGATGTTTTTTTTCACTGGTTTTAACAATATTTCCATCTGAAGTGAAAGAACATTTACAATATTTAGGCTGAAAATGAAGACATCATGTGGGTGAGGAGCCTTTTCCAGAGTTCTTATTATAATCACTGGAACAAGAAGTGATGTTCAGGCCACCTAGTGGGCAGAGAAGGAACCTGCGCTTGGATTTCACCAAAAATAAAGTCAGAAACTATAAAGTTCAACAAAGTAAAAACACATTTGAGGTTTAGCAAGAGTAAACACTCACAAAGCCATTAGCCATGATGCGATAAAGCCCCCTCAAGGAATCCATGTCTTTGCTGGTGAAGAGAAACTGAACCATTCGAGAGTTTCTGAACAGGTGCCCTAAAGTCGTCTGCAGGAAAAACAAGTCGGGTTATAATTTAAGCATCACTCCAGAAGTTTCTTCTGCGTAAAAGGCTGTTACAAACAGCTGGCTCACCAGTAACTGCTGTGGGATCAGTTGCATGATGAGCTTCTGTGGCCACTGGTCCGTGTTGCTGCAAGGAGACGAAGCAACACCATCACGGAAAAACGAAAACTGACAGTAAAGCCACAAAACGCTTTGATGAGGGTCAAAATGTGGCGTAAAATTCAATTAAACCCAAAAATACTTTGTTTGTCCCAAAGGGGAAACTAAATGTTGTCATAACTCAAATCATCCACAGAATCATTGTGGAAGGCGATGCTGTGCTGCAGGCAGGAAGGATAGCAGTCAGTCTTCCAACCAATCTGAAGCGACCTCTGACTGAAGACTAAATTCAGGTCAAATATAAAAGAAACGAATGCTTCCAGAGGTCATCAAAGGTCAACCAGCACATCCACATTTACAAAATATAACACATTTGTTGTCAATCAATTGCAATGAAAACATTTTAGCAGCACAGGCATCCCATAATAACTCTCAGCATTTTTATTATTATTATTAATGATTTGGCAGAGATGGGGAGGACAAGTTGTTCTCTGGTTAGGGTAAGGGTTAGGATAGGGTTAGGGTTGACCTCTGAACCCGGCGTTAGCTACTCACAGGTTTTCTCCTTGGTTGACGTAAACTTGACACGGCAGGGAACGCGTCAGTTTGGTTGAATCCATAGACGAGGCTTTGGGCTTCTGTGAAAATAAGGAGAAACAAATTGCTTGAGAAGTTCCAGGTATAAATAAAAGCTTTCAAATGAAATTCTTCTTCTCGGCATTAAGAGTGGAAGCAGTTGAGGGGTGAATTGCGGCGTTTCTGAGGCATCACCCAGGAAATAGACGTGCGGTTTGTCCAGCTCGAACCTTTGTCAGCGACCCCAATCAGGACAAGCAATTACAAAAAGTCCCAACGGGAGAACTGCCAAGTCTCATCTTCAGGGCGTCAATACAGGATAAATGATTAATCAATCACACATTAGTCAGGTCCACTGTACTCAATTACAGATTTATTGCAGTGAAGACAAATGGGTAATTTATTTTAAGTGCTGGCTACGGCAGAAAGGACATGGAGTAAAGACGTAGAGTAACAAAACAATTATTTCTGCTCTAAATCAGGGGTTGATTACAACAATTGTTGGTGAATCCCAGAGAAAAACCTGCACCGATCATATTATGCTGATGATGCTGTGCTTTAAAAAACCTTCATCTCGTCTCTTTAGTCAACAACTGCTTTCTCCAAACGGCTTTCAGATGCTGCAGTTTAATTCTCCCCAACAATACAAACCGTCTCTTCGAAGAATCAATTCCCAAACAGATAGCCAGATGAGCTACCAGGAGGAGGAAACCGTCGATTAAAAGCAATGTTTCATGCTCCCAATTTGACCCGTCGGGCCGTTTATAGATTTTGACTTTACGAAGCTTCTCAATCTTATTCCTATCAATTTAACCGGCTTCGATAATTCTGACAAACAGATGAGGGAGGATGGGACTTCAGTCGATGGCGGCGATTGATCGGCCCGGTGCGAACACGTATGGCGTCCCATACGAGCCACATAAACGCAGTCAAACTTCCTGGTTCTGCACTGTAAACTGGATCAATTTGACCTTGTGTGAAAGCGGTGGAAGGAGGACGGTAAGTGATGTGTGATTAATCAAACTGCTCAGCAATCAATAACAAGGGGTTATTAGGAATTTGCACCACGGTGGCTTCAGGGTGATGATGATGATGATGCTTACATCTTGTTATCCCCACCTGCAGCTTTTGAGTTGATCAATTACACCCAGGGATTAAAGTTTTAATTTTAGATTGTTTATTTTAAGATGCATAAAAACCAAAGGCGTGTTTGTTTTATGCACATTTTGACGATTATGACTCACAAATAATGGAAAGTTTTCTCATAAAATTTGAATGCTAAGAGTTTTGATAACATAATTGCTATATTACGGCTATGTGCTCATGGAGGAGACTGGCGACTTCACACTGAGAGAAAACAAGCCATAAAAGGTGATTCCTAAAGAAGCTAAGCGGCAGAGAGTCCAACTCCAAGGGTCTTACTGGAAAGTGAACAAGAAACAAAGAAAACCAAACATAAAATAAATAAATTCTACTGATCTTAATGGGCAAGGATCATATCGCCAACTCCAATGTTGGCGATATGAGGAGCAGCAAAAGCAAATGAGGAGGATTAGCAGAGCCTGCCAACAACCAATGGCCTCATCTGGGACATGTTATTGTGAAATATCATCTCTGCTGCCTGCAACATCACACAGCAGCAGTCTTCAGTCAGAGGCTTCTTCAGACTGGCTGTAGGACTGACTGCTACAGCATCACCATGCCACCAACTCTTAGAAGATACTTGGACAATAATTAATCCAAGCATATTACTGGAACGTTTTGTAGAAGGAGAAAACAGAATCTTTGTATGATTTTTGACACCGAACAAAGAGGAAGCGTTATATTTGCAGTGTGAGGAAAAAGGACAGCAAGCTGAGAATCTCTCGGTTCTGGTTTACCTCTTGCCACTCCAGAACGCCGGTCCAGGCCACAACCTTATTCGCCACGCCTTGAGGCTGACCCATTGGGTTTGCATTAACTTGACCTCCGGGAACGCCGGCCTACGGACAGAATAAAGGAGACAGAAACTTTAATGCAAGCGTATTGAAGTGAGATATACATTTTAATTAAAGGGAAACATATTCTGGGGGGCATTTTCACATGTTAGCGGCTGCAGCGTAAATTAAAGCTCTAATATTAAACATAAAATCTAATTCTGTCTTTCATTTGTCAGGCATTCAGACTGAGGTAGTAATCAATAACATGTCCGTTTTCTCATTTACAAAACGATTTATTTGTATTTTATAATGTATTTCTAATATTGTACAAAACAGATTAAATGAAAAATCTGTGGAAAGTGACACTTTTTTATATGATTAATCAATTAATTGTCAAAATAACTGATAAAAAAAATAGAAACTTTCATCTCGCATTACTTCTCTGAACATTTAATTTTTTAATATTCACCGACTTTTGACCTCATTTGGAGGCAGAAACATTGATTATATCACCAAGAATGCTGTAAGGGGACATAATCAATTCAGAATTGCTGAATTGATTATATCAGAATTAGTTTTACTAATACTTTACAAGATATAAACGTCACCCTGAAAAATTATTCGTACCCCTTGGAAATGTCACATTTTCACCTGACAAATTAAACCTATAAAGTGATTTAATGAGACAAAGTAGAGGAACATTGTAAACAGGGTTGAAACATTTAATCAGATTATTGATTAATGTTTTCAGACTTCAAATGTTTAATTGTATTTCTAATATTGTAGAAAAATACTGAAAAGAGCTCATAAGATTATTTTCCAGATTTTGAACCAGGTGAAGCTCAAACTATGCCACAAGTTCTAGGAGATATTTACAGAAAAGAGATTCTTTAAACTATCATTACAAAATATATTTACTCATTGTGCAGTTTTTGCTTAATTATGTTCATCAAATGGGCTTCAATATATTCAATATATTCCTGTTAATCAATTACTAAATTAGTTGACAATTATTTCAACAACCAATTAATCACAAATAATTAGATTAATCGTGTCAGACCAAAGAAACAAAATGTCGGTCTTGAAAAAAATAAAATTGTAGAGTTGAGAATTAAATCTACTAAGATGAGTCACAACAGCAGGGGGCAAACAAGTGTCTCAATTTACCAGTTAACACTTTTTGTTCCTATTATAAGCAAACCTGATAATAGGAACTGCAAATAAAATAAAAGTGTATTCAAAGGCCACCGGTGACACAAAACGTGTTAAATCTGAACTGCCTCACGATGTTGGGCTGCGCTGACGGCGCTGTGGGCTGGTTGGGCGTGGGCTGCGGCTGGACCTGCTGACTGGCCACCAGCTGGCCCGGGGGCGGGACGGTTTGCTGCGGGTTGGGGGGAACCTGCTGGGGCATCATCGACTGGGTCACTGTGGTAACCGTCGGTAGGCTGGACTGCCCGTGCTTTGACCCGGGAACCGAAGAAATGGGCTGATTCTGGAATTGCCCAGCGCCGATTCCTGTGACTGGAGGAAAGAAAGCAAAGCAAATGTTACTCACAGAAGATTTGTTTTAAATATGATGAAAATAAAACATTTTATCCAAAGAACAACAAAACGAAGCTCCTAGCTTTTTTTTATTGAGCAGAGTGGAAAAGTTTCAGGTTCCTGTTGCTTTTAAGAAACACAGAGAGAGAATGGTGAACAGTGGTGACATATGGTAAGCCAGTTTAATATACAATGTGCAGCCTGACTGTGTCGTTTCAGCACTATGACTTTGCAGATAGAAGGTTTTTCGAAACTGTTAATCCTTAAAAGAAACTATTAATTTAATAGGAAAGCCTTCACTGACTTTCCTTTAGTTAGCAATAAAATGTAAATAGGCAATTATTTGGCTCAAAAGCCTTAATAATTGTCTCAAAAGAAGCCAATAATTTCAATGAAGAGTTACTTGTAAGCTAGTTTTGTCTTATTTCTTATATCATCAGGTGTGTGGAGATATCTGCACTAGAAACTACACAAAAAATACTTCCTAAGATTTTGTGTATTTTTGCCGTGAAAAGGTGTAAATTCTACACATCAACAAACTCAGATCTTTACAAAAACAGAGAGAAAAGTGGCTGGTAAACATCTCAAACATAACAGGGTTTCCTAAAGGAGAAGAAAATCCCAGACATGGTAGATAAACAGAAAAAAAAAGAAAAAAAGGCAAAACAAAGCTTGGCAAAAATTAATTATTCTCAAAAGCTTAGCACCTCCTGTTGACTTACAGCGATTCTTCTGGTTATTGGCTGCATCCACGGCCATCTGTGCAGCCACCTGAGCAGGAGTCAACGGAGGCTGATTCTGCAGGAAGCAGATTAAAGGCACACAAATACAGCGTCAAACATTTTCCAGAGGAAGACATAAACGCCACGTTCTGAGCGCGTGCCAAAAAGCAGGTGGCAGGAATTAGCATGAAGGCGCCTGCTACCTGATAACTGTGCGCGGGGTTGATGGGCGGGGGGGCCTGCGAGGGTCCGACAACAGACTGGCTGCCAGGCAGCGGCTGAGGAGGGAGGACTGGTTTGTGTGGTGGTCCTCCGCCTGCGGAAACTAATAAAGACGTTTCCATGATTCAGAAAACCTGCTCTGCAGAAGGTGTTGGGGTTCATGCATTTCTCTCTCCTACGCGCCAAAAAAACAGTTCAAAACAACTAAATCTTTTTGTCAGGCCACTAAAACCTTCATCGCAATAAATGCACTGCAGAAAAATTGTGAAAAAGCAATTAAGGTGTGAAAATTAACAGCCACATATTGTTTAGCAGCATAAATCGAAGAAACCTTGACGTTCATGAAGTAAAGGCGGTTTGAGAGAAACATGTAGGAGGATGATAAAATAGTTTTTCCTCCATAAAATGAGCAGAAAAATGTCAAACACACATCTAAAGTTTACACACAGCAATGCATTTAAAAAATATTGCAGGCCAGATGTAGGAAGCACTCAGCGCGACCTTATATGGGCATCGGCACAATGCAGTAAACTTTGCACAACCATTTCTTCCTGAACAAAAACAAGGTTTGGATTTTTTTACAGAAATGTGCCAAACCGCTGTCAAATCTGGAAGTGATGTGAGCAAATATGATTCGTCCAAATGAGGTGCAAAACCTCCAGAGGTGCTAATCTAAATAATCCAAAAGGATTTACCTGTAGTGGGAGAATTTTAGCAGCTGTGTGCCTCGGAGTGACAAAGGAAAGCAACACGATTTAAAACTGTAACTACACATTCATATTTCATTAAGGACCTGCAGATTAAAAAATAGCCTGTTTTCCACTAAATGTCCCAAAGGTTCCAGGATCTGAACCATCAAACTTCGACTCTGTCAGGATTAGAAATGGGACTTTCCCTCACTGCTCTTATATTTGTGTACATGAACTAAATTTGAAACTTTTCTGCAGATCTAACTGTTCGTTGTTCCCCAAACGTTCCAACCTCTGCTGGCACAGAGTTTTATTCTGGCCGTGTGATCTTCCATTCTCATTCTGGAACTGAACATAGACTTAGACTTAGACTTAGACTTGACTTTATTGATCCCTTGGGAAGACTCCCTCAGGAAATTATAGTTACCAGCAGCTCACAGGCAAAAATGTGGCACACAGTAAGCACAGTAAGTCTTGGGCTTTCACTTCTCATTTTCTTTATTTTACCTTCTAAATGTAACTATTTGGATCTATATTCTAAACCTTTGTTTGCAATTCTTTGATTTCTTGCCAAGAAGTGCATTTTGTTGCGACAGACTTCGCAACAGTAAGTAAGTGGATTACACAGATATCTGTCATCCTTCCTTTGGAAAAACTGAGTCGGGATCAAATTGGACATTTTTTTGAAGCTTTGGGAACCGGTTGAGTCTTTCCTACTTAATCCCTAAGATTTGTGTCTTTTATAATTTTATTTTACTCATTTATTTTTTTGCTTTTTGTCTCAGAGTGGCGGTGAGGTGAAACGGACTGGAGGGGGAAACTAATTGCACCTCATCTCTTTTTCACTGCAAAGACACAAAATCTTACGAAGTATTTTTGGTTGAGTTTATAGTGCAAATATTGTAGTAAATTTGAAATAAGACAAACTAACTTAAAAGTAATTTTTTGGCAAGATATAGCAGCTTGTTTTAAGTAAATGATTCCTTAATATTGATGAATAAGTTCTAGTTCCATTGGCAGATAAATGAGGTTATAACCTGGCAGTGGAATTAGCATTTTATCAGCAATATTAAGGAATTATTTCCTTAAAACAAACCTCTATATTGTGTTAAACACTAATTTAGTTAGTTTTGTCTTATTTTGAGTTTACTAAAATAGTTGGACTGGAATATAGACCAAAAATACTTTGTGAGATTTTGTGCTTTTGCAGTATTATTATTGTTTTGTTTTTCTTGTGTGTGTGGGAGGCAACATGGGTTTCTCTTTTGTTCTTTGTGTTTGTAACTGATTTAAAATTAATAAAAAAATGTGTTAATTAAAAAAACTGGAGTCCAAATCAAGTGTGAAGCTCGTGTTGCATCAGAAGCTCCGTGAAAACCTGGATCCTGAGATCTGGGATGCAAAAACGTCTCACCGGGCAGAGAGATTCCTCTGACCAGCACCATGTGGAACGGGTCCTGGCTGTAGTCCGGATGCGGTTCCACGGCGCCGGTCACCGGAGACGCCCATTCGAACAAAGCCCGGAGAGCTGGAAGCTTCCGCGGAGCGACAACAGAGAAGTGAATCCCTCTCTGCAGACAAAAATGACAAGAAAGACTTTTTGTTTTCAGTCCTTCGCAATCAAAAACTGTAAAACCTGCCTCTCAGACACACATTTTAAAGCTCTAAGCTGTTCTGGGCTAATATCTCCAAACATGAATCAAATTTCAAACTATTTCTGACATTCAAACGTTTTATGTGATTTGCTTTCAACTTGCTAGCAGCAATTTAATGTTAAATAAATGCTCTTTAAGGAATCAATAAAGTTATTCTTTATTGAACCAAAATGAAAACAAAATGTTAAAAGCTGAGTGGTAAACTTAGTACAGCAGAGCTTAAACAATTAATTGAATTAATTGAAAACTGAAATAATTGTCAACTAATTTAGTAATTGATTAATCATTAAAGAGTACAGATAAAATGCTAAAAAAAGAACATAATTCAGATCAATAATTAGGCCCAAACTGTACAAATATAAATTAATTTTACATTTAAGCTAAGAAATAAAAGAAACACCCTGTAAAAATATTTTACCCAAAACTCTTTAAGTGATAGTTTTAGTTTCACCTTGTTTAAATTTTAGGCAATAAAATGTCAAATTTATTCATATAGCACTTTTAAAAAGGTTTAAAATGGAACCAAAGTGCTGTACAAAAACAATAACACGAGAGAATACATTGATAAAAAGAGAAATGATAATAAAATAAATAAAAAATAAAGTGAAAGAATAATAAGTAAATAAAAATAAATTACAACAAAAATTCCTTATTTTCTTATTTTAAAAATGTTTAGAATTATTTTATTATTTGCATCTTTTAATGTATTTCTAATATTGTATAAAAAGGTATAAGTGGTTAAAAAAAAAAAACTATACAATTTGTCAATTTTTTATCTGATTAATCAAATACTAAAATAATAGTTACTCCAAACAAAAGTAAGCATATCTAAAGTGAAAGTAACATTCAAATTAGCAGTTTGGTTCTACTTTAAAAATTATATCTTGAAAAATACTTAGAGCTGATTAATTCCACCTGAAGTCTTGAATTAGAGCAGAACGTCTCTTACGTCTCTGATGATTTTGACCAAGTTATCCGCTGTGAAGCCAGTGTAGCTGACGCTTTCCACAGCGGGAAGCAGATATGGAGGGGAGTTACACAGCAGCACACACACCTTATGCGTTTGACCTCTGCAACAGTGCACAGAAGTACAAATTAACCTCAAATAACACACAGATTTGAAGATATGAAGAAACACCAGCTTACATTTGTTCTCTCATCTTTTTAAAGTCGTCAAAAAGCTGCAGGGCCACAGAGAGTCCCTCTGCGATCAGACTGCAGCTTTCAGCTCCGCCTCCCATGAACCTGCAAGAAACCAAAAGCTAAGAATCATCGCAGCTCCGAGGAGAAATATTGATCTGGATTCAAGAAGCTATTTACTGGATGCTGTCGATCCACGACACAAACTCGAAAGCAGAGCTGGTTGGTGCGTGACACTGGACGTACGACTCCGGCGCGCAGTCGACCGTGTTGAACACCACCAGACCGTACTGCGTCCCTCCATACTGCAGGAAACAAAGTGGTGCTCACCTTCAAGAAACGCTGCGATTTCAGCCAGAACACGAAGAGAGTCGGGATGCAAACAATGAATGGGTCATTAGATTAAAATTAGCTCCAATCGATTAATTAATAACGTCCGTTTAGACTTCTTTTAGTGGTGTAGTTTGGCCGCCATTCAGCAGAGGGCGCCACTGACCATCTCTAAACAACGCCAGGATGGCGGAAAGTAGCAGAACGGGAAAAAGAAACAATCTAAACAGGGATGAAAAGTAGATCTGGTTAGAAATATAGACGCTCTATTAGCCGTTTAAATTTCATGTGAATATCGCTCACTCTTAATCGATTTGCTTCGAAGAGCAGGAAGTGACGACAGAATAGCGGAGAAGATAACAGAAAATGAACAGACATGAATAAGCACGGTTCATTTTGACGGCTAAGTTTAATAATGTGAGAAAACCATAATTTTGCAATTATTCAGTCAGTATTTGACTACAACACAAAAACGTATTTTTAAATTCAGCATTTTGCAAAAAACGTAGCTATTGGTGTAATGGAAAGGCATCTGGGCCTCTTGGTACAAAATAAACTTAAGTTTTAAGAAAATGGCCACTTATCAATTAATCATTAGTCGATTGGTAAAAGCAATTGACTTTAGATTAACTCATTAATCGATAATTTGCATTAAGAAGAGTACTCACATCTCCTCCGAAATCTGTTTCTGCAGGAGGGCCTCCGTTGAAATATCTTGAAAGATAAATAAATAAATATGAGAATGAATTAAGGACACAATGAAACTCACCAGTTTGGATGTTCAGGAACTTACTCAATGGCTGGAAGAATGTAGTTTTTTCTTAAAGACTCGAAGTACGGTCCCAGGTTGGCCGTTCCTTCGATGACGAACACCACATCAGCAACCTGGTTGGGCCCAGGTTTGGTGGAGGGCTCCATCCTGTGCTGAGCTCAATCCAAGGAAGCAGGAGGAGGAAATGTCATCTAAATACAAGCAGAGAGGAAAGAATATTCACACTTCTGGAACGGCTTTGTCACAAAATCCAATGCACCTCACTGAGGTTCTACATGACAGCCCGACAAAAAGTTGTGAATTATTTTACATCAATTATTATATTCAGCCCCTCTTTTCTCTGGTACTCATAAAACCAGATTAATTTGTGAATTAAGAATAAACATAAGTACCTCAGTCTATAGTAAAAAAAAATTGTAATATTTAAAAATGTGTAACTGTAATTTGGCCACATTTCTTTTATCCTCAAACCTTTAAAAAAAAAGAGCCATATACACACCCCCTCTCAGTGTCTGTTTAATTATAGCATAACAATGCTTTAATCATGTGTTCTTAAATTGATAAATGTTTCTGATTTTTGGAGTGGATAAATGTTTTATGGCTTTATATTTGATCTGAATAAATCACATAAATGTCTTGTTCTCTCCTTTACAACAGTAAATGATCTTACTTTAAATTATCTGAATGTGCACACAACATACCAAAGACAAAGAATTGTCTTACCAAAGACAAAGAATTGTCAATAAATGTAAATGGAAACGTTTTAGTCACAGTTAGTAATGCATCAGATTAAAACTTAAAATTAATATAGGGATTCGTTTTAAGCTGCGCAGGTGGTTTTACAAGTAGCTTAAAGTCACAAACTGTACTTTAAAGCACTCCCAGAATCACATATTTTAATATTTTGCAAAGAAAACAAGAGATGATAAAACATAGCTTGTGTGTAAAAATGAAATCCATGTAATTGTGTTAAATTTGGAGTAAAAGCTGATCAAAAATGGTACAACTAGCCCTTTACTCCAGCTCCAAATCGACGTCATCCCTGTTAGTTTGCTGAAACAGCCAGTCGAAGTAAACATTTTTTTGTTTAATCAAGTCCATATGAGTCTAAAACCAGAATCAATAACCGGTGTGATTCAACAGAGCTTCTGATTTAGCATTAGCATTAGTGAGAATGCTGGAGCCTAAATTGTCTCCTTATAACTGTAAGTTAGACAGCGGTGTGAACTAACCTGGTGTTTCACGGATGTCCGTTAAAGTGTAGGATCGGGTAAACCGGAATCAAATCAATCTTAGAAAACGAAGCCGCAGAGCTGCGATGCTAGCGTTATCATAAATAAACTCGTTTGTTTGTTTTTTTTTTTTTTACGGAAATGACGTCTAGACCCGCCCACCAAGACGTAACACTTCTTCTTCTTCTTCTTCTTCTTCTTCTTCTTCTTCTTCTTCTTCTTCTTCTTCTTCTTCTTCTTCGCTTTTGGTCTATGGAAGCTACCACAAGGGGCGCAGCGTTTCCTTTCACAGGTCTGAACGCTAAAGACACGTCAACGCGCCCGCCATATTGGCAAGGGAGATTTCGGCTCGGAAGAGAGGAAAACGGGCTTAAACTTGCGTTTCCAAAATGCCTATAAGAGCTTGAGGTTTACATTGTAGATGAAAATTGTTTTCCACAAAATTAATTAAATTAAACGTGCCGAGTTCTTAAGAAAACACTTTAAAGAAGTATTTACATAAAATAGGAAAAGGTGAAAGTAATACCATATTCCAATTGTTTTTAATTAGATTTTTTATTGACTACAACAGACAATAATAATAATAATAATAATAATAATAATAATAATAATAATAATATAATAATAATAATAATAACTAGTAGTAACAGTTAACATAATATAATAAGTTTAAAATAAAATTAAATGCGCTAAAGCATGATTTAATGTGCAAAAAAACAAGAGATGAAATCATATTTGGTATTTTCTGAGGAGTTTAATTTCCATAGAAACTATACGTGGCCCAGTACTTCAGTGTTTTTCTGTGTGTCACTCTGTGACATATTCATTGTCAGAATCATAATTCCAACTTTGTTTTCAATAATCATACACTGAAAAAAATCTTAACTTAGTTTTGATCAGATTTTCAATGCATAATATTTAAGTACACTTGAAATGAGACAAAACTAACTTATAAATAACTTCTTAGAATGAAATGTGTACTTGTTTTAAGTCAATAATTCCCAAATAATAATTAACCAGATTATCTAACTCACAACAAAACATTTTATCTTACGAGGTTCGATTGTGGTTAATGGGTACTAAATAGTTAAATTTAACTAAGCCTAATATTTATTGTTCTGCTTCATATTCTCAGCAGTGATGATGAACAGAAGGGGAAGTTTTCCAGTATCTCCACTAGATGGCACCAAATTTCTTTAGTAGGTAAAAATCCCCGTCAAGCAGCTGCTGATAATTTCCATAAACACTTGAGGGACAACAGCATGACTACAGATGCTTTAGAAAACACTGTCAGGTTTCTTCGCTTTTGACTTGGTGAGTTCAAGGGATCACAAACTGAACATCACTGTGACTCATTTTTATTTTTACATCCTCATCTTCAACCATTTCTTGTTTAACGTCAAAGGTAGAGACACAACGTGTAATTCCTCATCAGTAAGTCAACACAACGTACAGCTAAACGTATTTTTAAATAATCAACTAACTGTTTTTGGCAGGTATTGTATTCAATTCCAATGTTTTGTTGAAATCCGATCTTTTTCTTACGTGGTCGTGCAGATTTAAGCTACATTAGCTAAGCTAATTTTGCTAGTTCGGCAAATAAGTACTACAGTAAATATCACTGATATTTATCTTAGTATCACACATAAGTGGGTAGAGCACACGAACATCTTTGATCAAATAATAGTAGAAATGGACACATATTGTTCATAAATTAGGAAGGTCGCGAGAGCTGGTTATAAGCCTGCAGCGTGTTCACTGATGTCATAGCAACTGCTAACCAAGGCCATTAACGGTTAACGTCCCCAGGAGCGGCCCGCATGCGCAGAAGAAGATCGTTGACGTAACACAGCTGCGCTCCGTTTAAAGCCGTTTGTGGATCGATTTTTACAAGTTTATTCAGCAAAAAGAGCCGAAACGAGCACAACAGTGCTGATCAAGATAATAAAGAGAAAGCACAGCTACTAGCGCATCGACTAGATTTTACATAAGGAAGTCTGTTTGGACGCGTATTCAGAACCAGAAATGGTTTTATTGTGATGCGCTTCTGTAGCCAGTAGATATGGAAAACTGAGGGAATCTCCGCATAAATACTCAGACATTTTGCGATTAATCTCAGAAATTATCTCAAAAAAGCTTGGAAATTGAGCATGAGAAGATGCGCTAGAAAAAGAACTTGAAATTTTGAGATTAACCTCAAAACTTTTTCTTAAAAAGAAAAGAACATTTATAAATTTGAAAAGAACGTTTTCAACTTTCAGAAATTTTCAGAATTTGAAAAGTCATAAAATTTTTTGACTTTTGAAACTCAGGAGGTTTTTTTTTCCCCCAGAAAACTTATGAGATTAATCTAAAAAAAAAATCAGATTTTTCTTTTCTACCTAGTTTTGACATTATCAGTTCAGAATTTTTTTGTTTTTGTAGAAATATTTCTTTTGACAGTTACTTATTACAATATTTTTTCCTTCCATAGATCCATAATTACAATTTCCAGTCTCTGTTTACATCTTGATTTACAGTGTTTGGCTTTTTTTGATGCAAATTATGATGCAGATCTCACTTCCTGGGTGATAAAAAGTGACATGTCTGGTCAGACTGCAGACACTTTGAAAACTATTGGATGCAAATCCGAATTAGTACCGGAGGAGAGGAGAATAGCTGACCCAAAAATTTTATTTAAATTAAGATAAGAGTACCACGAGTACCATTAAGAGTACCACGACTTTTACTTAAGTAAGAGTAAAAAGTATTTGGTAAAAAGTCTACTCAAGTACTGAGTAACTGATTAAATTATCAATCATTTAAAATTAAAAAATTACATCATCAGATGGACCAAAATATGAAATTAAATGGAAATTTTGGTATTTTAAGGACCAAAATGACAATAATTTATATAAGTAACTAAATTAGGCAAAATACAGTTTTTTCAAATAAGTTTCTTTCAATAAGAAACTTACTCCTAAAAGTAATTTTTTTCAAAAAGTTACTGAAGTAAATGTAATTGAGTAAATGTAACTAGTTACAACCCAAGTCTGCTTCTTGCCACGTATAAACGAGGAATAAATTGGATTTTTCGGGGGTGAAAAGCTGGATATAAGTCGCAGTTGGGTGAAAAGAAGCAGATTTGGGAGGCATCTTCCTGCTGTGTGACTGCAGCCTTTCACTTTGGTCCAGCGGTCCGTTCTTCTGATGGTCGCTCGGTTCTGTTTTCATCAAAGTCAAAACCTCCCACAGACAATAATCTGCATCAGTTTAACCTAAATTCTGCAGGCGGGAGAAAACAGCCGTGCCCCTTCCGGCAGCAGATGAGTAAAGTTTCCATCTCAACATTCAGCCTCCCACAGCGCGTTTCGATTGTGACCGAGCAACATGGCCAATTTAAAGTGACGGGACGGCTCGTGGATGTTTGTTTGTGCCTGCCTGCGTAGGCACCTCTGATGTTTTCTGCTGCTTGGAGATATGTCGTCTAGCTTTGAACTGCAACACGCACCATGCAGGCAGTTGCCAAGCAATTACAGAGAACCTGCTCTCTAGATGTCTTTGGAAAGCCAGACAATGTTTACTTCGACTGCATTTGGGTTTTTTTCTTTGTTATTTAAAGTCAGAGACTGACATTATAAAATATAAATAGAAAATACGGTGCACTGTGTCTGTAAGGTCCAGGCGGTGTGGTGAAGACAATCCATCTCCTGACCGTTTTGTCCAGCTGGGAGGGCCAGATGGTCGTCTCACAACAGGTAATCACAGCCTACATGCTGCTGCACTTACGTCCTCTGAAGTGCTTATCAGAGTGACCTGGGACATTTGGGATGTCATACGTTTCTCATCCTGTCTGGGTTTCTCTACGAAGGCTGCTGCTGCTGGTGATGTGCAGCACAGGTACGGAAGCCTGTTAGGGCCAAAAAAAAGGAGGAGAAAATTTCAGCCAAAGAACTCTGAAACTTTTAGATTAATTTCAGACATGTTTTAGAAAAAACATGGACATTTCTGAGTTTTAATAGTAAAAAAATTGTTTGAAAAAGATTCAGAATTTTTAGTTTTGGTTTGATGTAAAAGAAAAAATTAAATTCTAGAAAAAGACCTGAAAACTTCAGAGTTTCGAGTTTCAAAAGAAAAATTTTTATATTAATTTCAGAAGTTTTCAAGAAAGAGCTTGGAAAAATTTCGCTTGAAAAAACTCAGAATATTTCAGATTTATCTCAAAATTTTTCTAGAAACAGTTTGGAAATTTCTGAGCTTGAAAAAGTTGAAAATTTGCACTAAAAACAAATTGAGATTCATTTCCAGAAGAAAACATGGACATTTTTGAGTTTGAAAAGTCAAAACTTCAAAACTATCTTACAAGTAACTTTTCAGCAAGTTATAGGAGCTTCTTTAGGTAAATTATTGTTTTAATATTAATAAAAACGTTCTTGTTCCACATGCAGATTTTATTTATGACATTTTTCTCATAAGTAAAAAAACCTGCTAAAGAAACTAGTCATTTTTCATCAAAATTAAATAATTATTTACTGAAATCAAGCTGCTGTTTCTTCTTGAAAAGGTTCTTGTAATTTAGTTTTGTCTTATTTACTAAGATATTTGCTCTGGAAACAAAATTTTAAAATTCTTGGTATGATTTTTGCAGTGTAATATTTACTTTTAAAGCCTGAAAACAAAAACAGCAACGTCACGACTCAAAAGCAGCTGCTTCTGCACGGAGACATTCCTGTCCTATGAAGCCGTTGCTGTCTAGTTTATCGTCCTCTGTGGATGTCTTAGTTTTATTTTTATTTTATTTTTTTATCCACGCTGCAGTAGCAGCTCATGTTTAGTTGTCAGGTTTTAGAAAAATTCCTTCAGAGAGAAACAAACCGTTTCCCCTCCCGTCCCTCTTACAGCTCACTGAACTGAGTGAAATGTCTTTCCGACTAAATTATTTTATTTTATTTTTTTGGCACGGCTGGAAAGTTGCCATGGAGACAGAAATCCCCCCTCACCCCACCCTCTCATTTTTCTCTTAGTCTTTAAAGCCAACTGGTGGGATGCCACATATATTTAAATATATTCATATATATATGTGTGTGTGGTCTGTTGCTGCCCATTATGGATGCTTTATAAACAGAGCCATCCTCCACAGCTATCTCCAGGTTTCCCCATGCATTCCTCCTCTCCTCTTCCTCCTCCTCTGCCGCCTCCTCGCCCTCGTCATCCTCTTTTCATTTGTTTAATCCTCTCCTACTCCTCCTTCTCCGTCATTTCCCCGCTCATCGTGATCGCCCCTCTCTGCTTGCAAATTGCTCCTGCGCGGCTCTTCGCTCCGGTGGCAGCGACACGTCGGATAATAAAAGTGATTAAAAGGAAACAAAACAGGGAGAACAGAAGTTAGAGAGCGCACGCTGCAAAAACACAATCTTACAAACTGTTTCTGGTGTTTATCTGCTAATACATGGGAAATAAATCAAAAGTAACTTATAAGCAGTGACAGTTTTTCATACAGGCAGTCTCCCAGGGCAGCAGAAAATGGAGTGTGTCCAAAAACTAAAATAAACCGCAAATACTCGTAAAAATATGATAGGACAACCACTGCTCACAAGTAGCTTTTCAGCAAGATTAATAATAATAATGAATAATTTCTTAATATTGAAGTTGAACTAGTAACTTTTTAAAAAAAAAATCACTATCAAGGAATATTAGTTTTTTTGTAGTTAATTAGTTTTAAACAAAAGCTGAATAAAAGACGCTTTTCACCAGATTTATTCTTAGTTTCTACCTGTAATCTCTGACTTTAACTTTCCCTGCTCTCATTACTGCCTCCATTCTGTTAAACACAGATGTATCCATGTATCCATGGAAATATGAGGTTCTTGGCTGGAAGATGATAAAGCAGCATTTGTACGGAGCTCTGGCAGTGCCAAAAAAACGTGGTGGCTGCATCAATAATTACATAGCTAATGTGGATCTTTGGTTTAAAAAACTTTAGATCTTTTTTAATAATATTTCTGAAAGATTTATACCCTGCATGATGCAAAAACCAAAAATCTGGTAATGAACAAAAAACAAATCCAAATTATTTTGTTTCATCCTCTTTTTTTCTGAAACTAGCAGCTTCTGTGATACTTAACTTCTGATGGAGTTTCCCACCTGTTAGCTTTATTTTGATACAGAGATTATTGAAAGAGAGAAATTGATTAGATTTAGGTATGGTATTTCAAACACACATTTCAGAAAACCTTGTCGGTTTAACATCAAAAAGCATACGTCGATAAAAAATAAGCTCTTATAACTTGCTTAAAGTAAGTAACTTGTCCTTTTTTAAGTGTTCTAAGATATTTACACTAGAAGCTAGACTTGGTAAGATTTTGTGTTTTTGCAGTGTTCAAACATGACAAGGTCATAAATGAATAGAAAGTATTAAATAAAACAAACTAACTTACAAGAAACATTTCAACAAGATATGGGAGCTTGTTTCTAAAAAGTTATATAAAAATGAACAAATTTCACTGGTATATTATTTCAATTGTAAGATATTATTCCCCATAAGTGAAATAATCACCAATATTAAGGAATCATTGACGTAAAACAAGTTCCTATGTCTTGCTGAATATTTATTTTTCTTATTTTAAGTGCACTAAAATATTTTAACTGGAAACTAGACTTGGTAAGATTTTGTTTTTGCAGTGTTCAAACATGACAAGTTCAGAAATGAATAGAAAATAATATGAAATAAGAAAACTAATAAAATATAGAGTTGAACAAATTTCACTGGCATATTATTTCATTTATTATAAGACATTATTTCCCAGGTAATAAGTTAAATAATCGGTTCATTTTTCACCAATATTAATGAATTATTGACTTAAAACAAGCTCCTGTAGTTATTTTAATCCAGTGAAGTAAAACATTTGCTCTGGAAACTGGAGTGAAAACACTTGGTGAGATTTTGTGTTTTTGCAGTGCAGTGGCAGGAGCGAGTGCTGGCGCTGTATTTCGGGCCTCGATGAAGAATTTATGACAAAGTGGCTGAATAATTTCAGGACTTAATGCACAGCGGAGAGTCTGAGAGCTTTTCTGCAGGTGGAGCATGTTAATCCTAATACTCCAGTCAATTACAGAGGGTAAAAAACCTGATATCCCCCCAGCTTTACATTTGATACTCTGCCTGGAGCAGCGCGGCAACAGTTAGAAGAAGAAGCCAGAAACACCAGAGCGGATGATACAGATCCTTTATTTCCATTATTGTTGCTTCAGCCACGCCGTTACTTACACATTCACCAACATCCTGTGACCTGTCCGGACTGAAACAATCGCCCTCAATCTCACCAACAACCAATAAAAAAGTAAACTTCTTGAATAAATTATATATATAAAAAACAACTGTAAACTGACAGAAAGGAAACAGAACACTGATAAACACAGCATCAACGTCATTTTCATCGTTGTTGTAGTTTTTTTGACAACAGAGATTAAACTACTAGGTCTCCATTTAGTCGTCATTAGTAGTATTAGTATCAAGTTCATTGTCAAATTTTTGCTTAAAGCATCTCTTATAGAATTTTTCATTGCATCAAGTTGACATCATTCGTGTTAATATAAGCATGCAAACATGTTTCCCCATGACCATTCGGGACTGGCACGAACAAGAGAAGACGGCAGGAGAGAGGGCAAACGATAAGAAACATGACAAGATGGAGGGCTGGGGAAAAAACCAATAAAAACAAGCAGGTGGAATGAAAAGGAGAAGAAGAAGGGAGCCGAAGGGAAAGAGAAGGAGGAGAATTATTATGGAGCTCCAATGAATCAATATCACCTTCAACGAGCTGATTGATCATCTCCTGACTGGAGAAACACGGAGAACAGAGAGCGAGTGACCTGATTTCCTTCATCCGGATGTAAAGAGAAAGAAAGTAGATCCCCCCTCTGGAGAACACGGCGTGTTTGTGCGGGAGCGGATTAGAGAGTAGTGGCAACAATACGCCGAGCGTTACTGTTCTGCTCAACTTCAGTCGCATTAGCAGTGACAGGCGTGGTTTTAGAACTCGGCTGATTTATAAGTGCTGGTTTTTTCCTCCCTCCATGTCGGCTTTGTTTCAGGGGGTTCCAGACTCGTACGGGAGCCCATAACTGCCACACTGGGTTTCTAAAATATTTGTGTCAGCAGTGGGAAATGTGAACTTTGAATTTTATCATGATAATTTGAATGTTTGACAGAGATTAATGAAAATAAATTCATCATTCAGATTTGAAACCCAATTTATTATGGGTTTCACAATGGTTGACTTTTTAACTCAGTTACTTTGAAACTCAAATTTAAAAAAATAATTTCAGTTTAAACTAATTTCTTTCATTTTATTTACTTTTAAAAAAAATGTGATTTCAGAACCAAAGTATGACTTGACATCTCATGATAATGTTAATATATAATTGCTTTACTCAAAATTATGACACAGTTTTGTAACATTACTTTTGTAATCATAATTTTGAGTGTTTGTTTTTGAAAGACATTAAAAAAATATATCTTTGAATCTCATAAACATTACATTCACAATTTTGATCCAATTTTCCTTGGAAATATATATATATTTTTTTAAAGAAAATGTATTTTTTATAAAAGTAAACTAATTTTATAGAATTTTAATTTTATCTAATTGTTGACATCTTTTTTACTTTTATGATTTGAATTGATATTTCTGAATTTTATGAAGCTACTACTTTAAAAACTGAACATTTTTGTCACATAATAGGACTTCTTAATTTATTTTCATAAATATTGAAATTTAAATTGCACAAAAAAATATTTTTAAACTCTTTTCAATGTAATTATAACCTTCAAACTCACAATTTTGATATTTTATTTCCTAAATATGCCTTCGATATAAACTAAATGATTCCTTCGAGTGCCATTATTATAACTTTTTAACTCCAGATAATGGCATGCAATGTGCCAGTCTAAAATAGGCAGGAATGGGATTCCGTACTTTCAGTTATCAGCCTGTAAAACAGCAGTTTTTTAATTTTTTTAAAGTTGTTGTGTTCCTTTGAATAATTATAAGCAAAATACACCAGCACTTCACCACTTTCGATCCCATCTGAGTTTTTCACGCCAACATTCAGCACATAAATTAGTGAAAGAAGAACACGATTAACACGGTTACTTACATCAGGCAAAAGGGTTCGCGAGGAGAGGAGGGCTCACTGGTGACTGGCAGCAGTTATCAGAGACAACATAGACAATAAAAACTAACGTCTGTCAAAGACGGTGCTTCCCCACCTATAGTGCAATGAGGCACGAGTAGAACACACACACACACACACACACACACACACACTCTAGTTTCTCACACTCTTTAGAGACAAAACGAGACAAAGTTTGGCTCTTAAGCAAACTTCTCAGTGCAGACGCCTGAATTTTAGGAGTGGAGACAGAAAAGGGAACGACGGTGAGCACAGATACATGTCAAACACACACATACACACAAGTACAAAACAAACACGCCCACAAACACTGAAACACACACTGATAAAAGCAACACAGAAGTGTGTGTCCTTCTATAGTCCTGTCAGAGACATGATATGGACAACAATTTGATCTGTTGAAGCGTAACAATGACTTTTTCTTTTCTTTTTTCTCTTTTCTTCGACTGAGAAAGCAAAAACTTTAAGTCCTGGAATGGTAGAAAAACAACCGAGTGGTGATCCAAACAGTCCAACCCCGATCCTGGAAACCCGTAAAAGTCTGGCGAGAAAGTTCCCCTCCTGTTGAGACTTTTGGACGATTTAAAAAAAAAAGACAAAGAGGGACACGTTTCAAGGTTGCGCAACATGCTGAGGCCGACGAGTCCGTCCTCATTTTTCCGTTCATCTGACATCAATAGGAGCTCGACGTCTTCCCTCAAACCGCCAAATGGATGCAAAACGGATGGTTTGAGTTTTTTTGTTCCTCCTCCTGAAGCTGAACTTTCTCTCCATAGTCTGTACAAGTGCATGAAGCTTTGGTCCTGGTTGAAACGACCACTCGATGATGGCTTTCTTTTTCTTATTTTTTTGTCTAGAATGAACTACAACACATCAGTGACGTGCGGTGAGGCTCACGACCGGCGAGGCACGGACTTCACCGGAGTCCAAAATCCAATATGGACTCCTCGCATGTCGTTGTTTACATCCGGAAATAGCTGGAGAGCAAAAGATGATTCCTTCTGCCGCGGTAGAACGGTTAACTAAACCTGGAGATTTAGTTGATCGTTATCAGTTTAGTGCAGTGCGTCACAGCAAAGGGAAAAATAACGGAGAAAATCCGTTGAAGAACAATTGCAAACTACTTTTTTCTCGCTCTATTTGTCGACTACACTCAACGCAGGCTCGTTGCCATAGCAACTGACAACAACGCCACTTTGTTTCAGGATTCAGCATCAAAAAACACCTAAACACTTTCCACACAAAGAACAGAACATCCAGTTCGTCACAGTATTTTGTTGTTAGACTTTATGTTTGTTTTGCGATTATTAATAAGTGATCGCCGTGGTAGGTTAGCTACCGCAGCTATCAGCTAAGCTAACACTGTGGTGGTAGATTAGTTAATTTAAACACCTGCTCGACTGATGATCTGTCAGAGTTGCTGTTGAGATCACCTTTTTAATTTTTTTAACTGAACTGAAACACAGAATTCTACAGCACATGAACATGTTACATTTATCATAGTCAAGCTAGCATATAACAGAACTACTTCCTTTTCCCTCAGTTCCATATGTTTGGGACTAAATGTGTCCCAAACATATGGTGGAAAGCCAACATGTGCAATTAAACAAGTAAACTGGCGATACAGCGCCCCCAGAGGTGAGGCACAGCACTACACTGCCTCGCACCGGGCTTCTTTAAAGCATTTCAACAGGCAATGCAGCGGAAATTCAGTGAATTTGACCATGAAAATGTTGAAATGACCAATAAAAAAAACAATTTATAGAAAATTAAAATGGATAGTTTGATTTTACCTCTTATTTTTACTCATACAGGTGAAGCACTGCCTCACCTGCCTCTCCTAATCGCACGTCACTGCTACACATATCCAAAGAGCACATGAACTACACACATACTACAAACTCTGTGTATCCGTGTGTGTGTGTGTGTATGACAGAGATCGAGAGAGAGGAAAGTGTGTGCGCTTCTTGCTAGGTCCCAGATTTACACCTGACTTTGTTCCTGTCTGCATGTGTTTGTAGTCTGATGTTCACACTGCAGCTCAGGACGGGTGAAGCTCCGCCCCCTCCCCTCCAGCTCGGCAGACAGCGCAGAAGTCAGAGTATTCATTAGCAGGAGCAAAACGGCACTAGCAGCTGGACACTGGCAGCGTCTCCGCGTCTCTCTTGTCTTTGATGGAGAGAATTATTCACAGATGAGAGGAGAAGAAAACAAGAGAGAAAATAAAAAAAAAGGAAAATCTGGAGCTGTAGAGATGATAATGACCTGAGGAAGGAGAGAAGAGGTGGATTAAGCACGCGTGAGACAGAGGGAGACAGGATAATATATAAACAGCATGGAGTTTCTGCAAGTCAGGCAGGAGGAGGAGGAGAAGCATTACATAACCCGTAACATCTAGATTATACAGATGATGCACTCCAAAAACAAATGTAACCATGTTTCTTCTGTAAATGTCTTAATAGACCTGAAATAAGACTAACTTGCAAGTTACTTTTCAGCAGAAAATAGGAGATTATTGAAGTAAATAATTCCTTAATATTGAAGAAAAAGTCCTTGTTCCACTGGCAGATAATTTCTGCGACAAAATATTAGGACTGTACCAAGAAAAAATACTATTATAAAGTATATTGAGAATAAATGATAATATTCCAAGATAAATTTGTACAAGAATAAATTGAAATAATGAGTATAGAATTGTAAGAAAATGAGAAAGTCATATTTCAGGAATACAGTCAAAATAATGAGATTAATGTACTAAGATTATGAGAATAAAGTAATATTATGACTTTATTCTCATATTATTTAGGATTTATTCTGTATTGTCTTTACTCCTTTGCATTGTCCTCATCCTTTGTTTTATATTTCACTCATAATAAATCTCTTGTTATGAGTGAAATAATCTTTCAGTGTGACAAGTATTTTTTAATCATTAAAAAATTACTTAAAACAAGTTTCTTTATCTTCCTGAAATGTTTGTTTTGTCTTATTTCAAATGTACTAAGATTTTTGCACGATAAACCACAGAAAATACAACTTGGTAATATTTTGTGTTTTTGCAGAGTTGAGCCTTTGAGCTGCAACATCTGACGGCTTCACAGCCTCTGCCTTATCGCACCCTCACAGTTCAGCCATGCTTTTTAAGACCCGACTCGATGCCCCCGTGTTAATTGGACCAGAGAGCATCTGCCACACAGCGGTGGACGTGTGCTGGAATTAAAAAGTCAGAGTCCAAGAGAGCTAATGCTATTTGTGGAATGCTCCGAGCCAATAAACACATGAGAGACTCACCGTTTCAATCAGAGTGGGGGCTGTCCACCACAATATGCGGCTTTGGGGTAGTGGCACTTTTTGATACGAATGTACCAATTGCTTTTTCCTGTAAGGGAAAAAACTCTCCTGTTAATATTTTACCATAAAACACATATAGATATATATAGATAGATAGATCTATATCTATCTACATCTATGTATAGATATATAGATGCACATATCTATAGATTGATATGTAAATATATATAATCTTTTACATAACATGGTTCAAAGGTTTTGTTTATAAAAAATAAAATTGATTCCATATTTAAACTTGAGCAATCATAATACACTTTTTATCACCTTAATATCTATATTAGTTGATCAGAATTAACATATTACAAATCTTAACACAATTAATTGCTTCTGGTGGGTTTTTTTCCCCCATGCGGAACCTTTGTATGCGTTTCTGGTACGTCCGTAAATCTGACGCACAAGCAGCTCAGACAACAGCGACAGACGAAGCTGCTTCTCTTGACCGGTTCGGGATTAATTTCGGGCCCAAAAACGATCTGATTGGACACTGGAGAAAACTATTACTTTGGGCAAGTCTTGCTAAAAGGAGTTAGCCTGTTAGCGAAGGTATTGTAGCCTAACATAGCATCTCAATACTTAGCATGTGGGGCTAGCATAAGTTCCGATGCTAAGCGCATTTCTAAAGCCGTTCCGACCGACTTGGTTGGATGATCACAGGTTAAAAACAATAAATATCTGTTGTTGAGCTCAGATGTCTTTTTAAAATAATTTAATAGCAAAAAGGGTTTTCTAATTGAAAATGTTGGCTCACTTTGTCCAGATACAATTTTTAAGCAAATTTCCCCTTTATGATGAATATATTCTAGAAATTAATTAGAAACCCTGCAATTAACTTGATTAAAAACTTTAATCAAGTCCAATCACTAATTAATCATTATAATTTTCTAAATTGACCTTTTAGCCCACATACTCTTTCAAACTCAAAATTGAAACCAAATCTTATATTTATGATTTTTACTTTCATAATTGTGACTTTTAAACCCGTCTTCACATTTTATTTACTTTTCATAATATGACTTTCAGACTAAACATATAAAACAACTTTAAATCTCAATAATGATTTGTCTAATATTAAGAATTTTTGTTAATTCAAAAATATTAATTAATAGAAACTGATATTTTAAAAAATAATATTTCAAATCTCATGAATTAGTTAGAGTTTGTCTCATAATTAGGACATTTTATGCAATATTTCTACTCAAGAGAACAGAAAATTAACAAACTACTAATCTACCTACAGATTTTCCAACACTAAATAAATGTTGTCAAATTAAAGGCTGAATTTTTAAACATTTTCCAGTCACGCCTCTTCAGTAACAGATGAATCAACCAGGGTCTGTACCTCAACGAGCTGATGCCAGTGCTCTATCGGTTTCCGAGGGTTTGCCAACATGGCCGCCCAGTGTTCCCTCCCGGGACCGTCAGCCTCGCTGCCCACTCGACACATGCCTATGACCTCGTTATGACCGATGCTGACAGCGAGAGGAGACAAGAAAGGACAAGGAGAGTTTCACAAAAATGAAGGGAAGCTCATGAAGGAGACCTATTATGTAAAATTCACATTTTGAACATTTTTGTATTTCCACATGAGTATAAAAACAGTCCAAGTACTCAAAATGACAACCACTGAGCTGTTTCTTGTCATTAAATTTATGTTTTCTTAGTATCTGGAAAATCAGCCATTTGAAAAACCTTTGAGGATTTAAAAATGAAACCCGGAACTGGAGGTTTTATTAATTTACTGCAGTGCGCCGCAGCAACAGGAACAATAAGGCAGAAAAACTGTTGAAGAGCAACTCTAAACCGCTCATATCCTTTGTTTTTCTTGCTGTGTGTGTCTGTCATGCTACATGAAGACACGTTGCCATAGCAACTGACTGACAACAGCTCCACGAGAACATGAGGACTGAATGGCAAAAAACACGAAGACAGCAGATAACTTGGATTTAAAGTGAAAGGACCCTGTTTTGAAAAGAGATCAAAATCCTTTCAGAGTGTAGATCGTCGACGTCTCGTAAACTGTTCAAGGAATCGTAATCGGTCCTCTAAGCTTTGGAGAAAAGATTGACAGGTTGGGAAGGACACCTATACGGAGGCCAAATGCTGCGTCTACACAGCATAACAGGGAGGAGGTGCAATTATACACAAACACTTAAAGCAGCCAAGTGACGCTGCAAGCAACTGTGAGATAAATATTGGCAGGGCTGCGCGTCTTCCTTCCCTATTAGCATAAATCATGCTTATTCATGGGGCACCCATCTATGTAAAAAAGGGATCATTCAGCAGGAGGGGGGCGTCTTGCAGGAGGCCCCTCGTGTTCGACAGCGGGCCCCAAAATCAAACATGCCGCATGCACAAAGACGTTTGACAAACAGCTGCTTCCCAGTAACGATCAGCCTGTTGTTGAAGCGCCCGGAGCGAGCGGCGACTGAACAGCGCCTCACCAATCATAATCCATCACTGCTATGATGATGGAGACGCTCTCGATGTTTTCATTGGGAATGTCAAACACCAGCGCCTCGTTGTATGTGGGATTCAGCGTGTTCTTCTTGATGGAGGTCTTCCTCTTTTTTAGCCGCCGCCCGTCGCATATCAGGGACGCCTTCACGTACGGGTCTGGAGAGAAAAACTGGAATTAGTAGTAGAAGAAGAAGACACGCAGACAGGATGGCAGCACGGAGTGCGAGATAAGAGGTCGCGCGTATCTGCATCTGTCACACATGAAAGCTGGTGAGAATCGAGTCGCCGAGGCAAAGCTGGATTAGCAACAGAAAGGGAGGGGAGAAGCAGAACAGGTCGGATCCCTTCGCTCAGTGACAGCAGCTGGGAATAATCACACGCATCCGAGTTCCTCTACTGCGTGTCGGTATCTTCTGATGCTCTTAAATCACGCCGAGATCAATGGGGCAATAATAACAGCATGCAGGCGTAATCTGTTGGTGTGTGCAACAAAAAAGAAAAATAGCTTCCATCTCATGCATTATTTAGTTTCTAATCCTTATTACACCATTTGTTGCCTTTCTCCAGACATGGTTTCACATTGTACAGCATTAAGCAAAACTGGCAACAACATGAGGGTTTAAATTTGGTGGCTTGCAAAAGTATTCATACCCTTTGATTTTCTCTTGTTACAATTATAACCTTCAATTTGATTTTGATTTTATATTGGATATTACATTTCTGTAAGTAGATTTGGATTTAAAAGTTGTAGTTTTATCCTAATTTTGTCTTGAAATGTGTTCTGGGGACCATAAAAATTTTTTTGGGGACCATAAAAATTTTTTTTTTAAATCAGTCCAGGCTTTGGAAATGGCCCTCGGGCCACACTTTGAACACCCTTGGCTTAATCAACTTTTAAGTGATTTAGTGTGAATCTGTCCCATATCGACTCAGATTCCTTTTCGGCATCTTAACCTTTTCCACCCTGAATAATTAGGACCAGAGTAGATAGAAAAACTCTACAATTTTCTAGAATACAAGGAAATTTCTGAGCTCAAAAGGTCAAAAATTAGTTAGAAAAAAACCTCAAACTCAGATAGTAGTCTCAGGAATTTTCAACAATAAACTAGGAAATTTCAGAATTTGAAAAGTCAAAAATGTTTGACTTTTTTTCCAACAGTCAAAATTTTAAAAAAATTAAACTTAGAAAAATTCCAGCAGTCAAAAATTTTTGACTTTTGAATCTCAAGTTTTTTTTCTAGAAAATTTCAGAGATGAATCAAAAAACTGAGTTTTTGGTGGACATTTACTCTTTGACATCATTTACAGTTGCCCTAACAAGACGCTGCACTGCCCGCCTTTTATCCAAAGGGATTCTTCATTTCTTCAATAAATCCATCTAATCTGGACTTTTTAAAGTCCAGATTATTCAGCTGTTTTCTGTAAAGGATGGGCAGAAATGTTATCCGCTCAATGTGCAAACTTTGATGAAACAATTCCCCCTACTGGCTTGAAGCTGTTACTACAGCATATCTACTCAGTGGGGCTGAACACAAATGCAAGCCACACTTTTAAGATTTCCACTTGTAAAAGAAAATAAATACTTAAAATATTCCTTTCACTTTGTAATCCTGTACAACTTTCCTTTATGTATAAATATATTTCCAACCAAATTTAAGAAGAATGGTAGAAAACAGTGGGAGTTTGCTATAGACTTAATGACTGATGTCTAAATGCAATTGTAATTGAATTAGTTTATTAAAATCTGATGAGGCTCCAAATGCTTTTAAATTACCACTTTATGGAGAAAGTGTTTTACAAAAGCAGGAGTTTCAGAGGAAACCCCTTCCTGTAAATGTGTTGATGATCTCATGATGTGCGATTTGTTCACCTGAGAAACCCGTCAGGTCCATGGCTTTGAGGTTGGTGGCCTTGATGATTGTAGCGGTGAGTCTGCCTGCGGTGGGCAGGTAACACAGCGAGAAATTAAGCTCCCCGAGATCAGCCTTCTCCTGCAGACAGACACACGGACAGGGATCAGAAAGCAGGCGGAGACGCTCTGGTCCGAGCTGCAAAACAACACCACCAGACAGACACACAGGCCTCACTCTGAACACAGATCCCTGGGATTCGGCTAACATGCAAGTCGATTGATCTAATTGACTGATTTTTATGAGCAGACATTTTCTGAAAAAGAATAGATTTGTATGAGGCTAAGATCAAAAATAAGAAAAACAGTATTTAGAGAATAAGCCAGTATTTTGAAAATTAAGTCAAAATAATACCAGAAAAAAGTCGTAATATTCTCAGAATAAAGTTGTGATATGACGTCCATTTCTCTTTCCTGTTCTGCGATACGGCCGCCATCTTTGTTTCTGTATCAACTGGCTTTGCTTAACGATAACCTGGGTTGCCCTCTGCTGGTTGGAGGAAAAATTACAACACTAAGGCATAAGCAGAAGTCATTAGTTTTTATTATAGTTATGTAGTTTATTTATAGTAGTTGTTATTAGTCAAACAATTAGAATTCATTTCAATCTAATAACTTATTAATTGACAATCAATTGTAAGGTTTGTCTTTTTTATCTTCCCTGCCTTTTTCCTTCAAAATCGCTGCTATTCAGGTCGGACTCATCAACACTTCCCCAAGTGAAGCACTGATATACACTGATGCTTTAAACTTATTTAATAAGTTAGACCCTGGTGCCAACATTTTAAAGCTCTGCTCCATCTAATTTGCTAATAGCCCTCCATGAATATTTCATATAAAACAAGTTGGACGTAAACCAATATAAAGTTTGGATTCTGCCAGTAATCTATACAGACTCTCTTAAGATGATTTTTCACACCGCCAGACTTTGGATCAGTCTATCCTGCAGGCAGACTGTTTTCCATATGGACCGCTGCAGAAACCCGACTGGATTTACTGTCGAAATCCGAGCATGTCACCGTTCCGACTGGATCCAGAACCATCCAGCTGAATCAGAGGAACAGGAAGCAGATCGCAGGTCCAGTTAAAGCCTCTGTGTCTTTATGCTGGGAGAGAAATGGCGACTTGTTTGCCTTACATAAATATATCGAGGTTTAGTCTGTTGAACTATTGATCTCAGCTGGCTGCAAGCGAATCTAATATTTTGAAAATGACTTTCCTGAATGAGGGTTTTAGAATAGAAATGCAAATGATGTGGATTTCTAACTCAAAAGAAATAATATAAAACAAACAGCTGAATCAGCATATTTACTGCAGCGGCTGCTGTTTATCAAAGTATTTAAATTACATCAAGTTGTCAATAAAGTTTAAATTATTTCAGTGCAGATTCAAAACGTAGCTCATCTCCAAGCAACCAACCATAATGCGACGGTGGATAAAACAGTTTCCACAGCACATATTAATACATATTAAGGTATATTTGGTGTCTGAAGGATTAAAATAGACAGTCATTAGGATTTTTAGAGAGGGTTTCAAGTATTTGCTGGTTTAACTATTCGCAGGGGGATGTAAATAATCTAATATGAGATAAACCACTGTGGAGCCGTACGTCATTTATATTATTTCAGGTTATTGGTTATCTGCTGATTTTACTCCAACAAAAGTCAGACTATTCGCTTCAGGAAGCCAGTCGTCACTTAATGGCAGCGACTTGCTTCAGCGCCTCTAGAGGCACAAAGGAGAATTACAAAAACAAACAGTTGCACATAAAAGTGTCTCCTTCAGGACTGAAAAATGTTTAATCAAATCAAAACGTCTTAGAAAATTTAACTGATCAGACTTAATAAAGTCCTACTTTTCCCATTTGCTTGCTTTTGAAGGCTAAATAATTTTCAAAAACAAAATCTTTTAAAATAAAAAAGTTTTAGCCTGTTAAAATAAAATTTTAAACATATTTTATTTAGCTGCTTTCCAGGTATCCATACATGTTATTTATTAAACATGACTGAGACAAAACAGATCCAGCCATACTGATACAAGAAAAAAGACTTTCCAAAAACAAATCTCAGGCTGACGAAAGAAAAGTTCAGTTCAGCCTGAGATTATGTTGACCCAGCTCTGATGCCTTCAGCTGCACCAACATTTCGCCTGCCTGATGAAATGTCCACAAAATATCATTTTGAGCAGCAGGAGGATGTGAGCAGATTATATAACACAGCAAAGTTTTACAATTTTATGAATTTTCAGTTTTTATTTAATTGCCACTGTTGGATTATGGGACAAATAAGCAACAGTTTTATCTATAGAAAATGCTAATTATGGCGATTTCAGCAGATTTTTATCTGTCATACTATTCAGGTTGATTCATCCATTCATCACAAAAAACACAAACATAAAATGGGAGAAGCCACAAGAAGAGGGAAATTCTGCATGAACTAGTTTCACCACTTTACCGTTAAGATTTACACAGTGAGCTAAATCAGGTTTGAGCCTTCAGAGACGTATAAAGACAATTACAAAGTTGGTCTTCAATTATCTGAAGAACATTTCCAGGAGTAAAGCACTGATGTTTCAGCAATATCAAAAGAAACTCTTTTACGTAGTTATGTTTAGTTGCATTAATTAATGCAACAGTCTTCACAGGTCTGCCTAGAAAATCCATCCTCCAACTGCAGCTAATCCAGAATGCTTCTGCTGTCATAAAACCAGGAAGGCACAGCAGATCCCCACAGGCCTAAACTCCTTACACTGCTCTCTGTGAAAATATAGCATCTCTCTTTCAGCAAAGCCTTTTTCTAACTGAACTGAAACACATCCAATTCCACAGCACGTCTACTTGCTAGGTTTTTAAAGTCGAGCTAGCATAGCTACTTTCATCTCCCTTTCTGTTTTTTCTTAATGAAAACATTTCTTGACCTTTCATCTTGTTGTTGTAGCAGCGTTCACAATTGACAAGTAGCAAAGCACCATTTCACTTTTTTTACACGTACATTTCAGATTTAGCTTGTTATATTGATAACAGCTAAAACCAATGGTAGTCTTCGTTAGCGCCCATGACGTCACCCTACAGCATGTTTATGAAAATAAACTGACTAACCAACACAACCTTCGAATCACGCGGACTCTGAGCGTTTCTCGGTTGGTGTCTTACCGCCGTTCCCTCCACGATGTCCCTCCAGATGGGTTTGTCCCCGCTGCCCTCGCTGAAGTCCAGCAGGTTGTCCACCACCACTTGACCTATCAGGTCGTGTCTGGAGAAGCGGTCGAAGTCGTACACAGAGAAATGCAGCTTCCTGGAATGTAGCTCGTTCAGCGGCACGCCGAACTGGAACGTCTCATTGAACACTGGGTTTAAGGTCTTTCTGTGGACCTGAGAGACACATGGGCAGATTTAGAAAACATCCACTGACCATTTAATAATCTGAAAAGACACAATTTAAAATCTGTATTTCTCCAGAGAAAATAATTATTCCTCAGTGGAAAGGTTTCCCAGCAGTGGACGCCTCAGCAAAGTCATCCCAAAGATCAGACCGAGCGACATCTACAGGTCAATCTTAAATGTTTTTGACTGGACATGTAGAAAAAAAAGCACTGAAGGAGAAAGAGCAAAGCTGCAGCTTTAGGAAATTAAAAAACTTGGAACAGTAAAGATGTCTGATGGCAGCCATGTTGGAAGGAAAACCCCAAACATTTCATACACACTATCTGTTCAATTGTTTAAATGATGCCCTTTGAATACTTTTTACCTTCCTTCTTTGAAAACTTTCATGTTTTTGGACTCAATTTTGATTTATGTTGTTCTGTTTGCCTTAAAAATCGCATTTGGCCAATTTAAACAGGATTTATTGGTATAATTAGACCAGATTGTTGGGAGAAGGGAGCATTTTTATTGAGATCTTTAAAAAATGAGCCACAAAATAGGGTACATATAATAACTATTTAAATAAAAGTTTAATTGGTTCAATACTTTTAACCACCTGCTAGTAATAATTTTACTGCCCTCAGCAATTATGAAGTGGACACAGAGTAAGTAGAAAGAGACGTATTCAGACCCTCCTACTCTTATTCGTCAATAATTGCCTCTGGCCAGGAGTCCAGACGAATGCCGGGTTCATGCTGCATAATTACACATTGTATGGCATCAGCCCTATTATTAAACAATCATTTTGACATTTGAGTCTTTCCATCGATTACTTTGTTTCAGTTACAGAAGCTCAAAGACGGTGCATCTGAAATCCTCAAAACAGATTTCAGATGATCCTCACAGATTGTACCTTCAGATAAAACAGAAAAAATAAAACATTTCCCCCGGATTTATGTCTTTGGAAACACGCCGTTTTCACTCCCACTGCTGTGATGTTTGATTTAAATATCCAACAGGTGTTTGCTTTGTCCTTTTCTCTCGCCGTGCCTGTGGCAGAACACAAACCTCTCCTCTTATTTCATCCAAAACATTTTGAAAATGTGAGCAGCATCAGTTTCTGTAAACCTGTTGAGAATTTGACTGAATCACAAGAGAAACAAAACTCCATCACTGGTGAAAATTACACATTTCTCTACATTCTGCTTCTCCGTTTCTCAAAATGTTGCTTTAGTTTTAGTTTAGGTTGCTTTTGTACCACAACAAACGTAACGTTTGTTACTGGTTTCTGAAACTGGTGACTTTAGGTTGTTTTTATGACCTTTTGTCTTGGAGTATTGATCTGCATTTTTGCTTAAATGTGCCATAAAAATAAATTTGACTGATTGATAATGAAAAAATAATAACACATAAATAAAAGTAAGACACTACCCCCTCTCAAAGACCAATAAACTTTAAATTCCAGCTAACATTTAACACTGGAAATGGAAGAGATTGTAAATATTCAAAAGAAATAAACAAAACAACAAATTAAATGGATAATGAAGTCAATGTTATTCTTCAAAAAGAGAATCAAGTTGAGATCAAAGCGCCAGACTTTGGTATAAATAGAGACATGAGAAATAAAAACAATTATGGAAATTAATTTATTTATTACTTATTGCGACAAACCTGCCAACAAACTACAGTTTGGAGATTTGTATTATAATATCTTGTTGGAAAATGACTGAAGTGAAATCTTGTTACGAGTCTCAGAATATGATATCTTCAGTATTTGTCATGGATTATTCCATTTAAATGAATAAATGGAATAAATTTAGACTTCGCATCGACTCATTCGTCAAGTTTAAGGACCTTTTTATGTCAGAATAATTCAGAAATGCAGCATAAGTGGCTTAGCGGACAGGAAAAGCAATCATTTGAAAATATGCAGGCCAATGCACTGAAAATGAACAAAAAAAGCAGCCAAAGTTCAGAGAAAACATTAAAAGACCCCCAGAGACCCTGAACTATTGATCAAAGATCATAAGAAATTCTGGCTGCTTGGCTGGAAAGGAGATAAAGAAAAGATGGATGAAAAGTGCATTTAAACCTTAACCCATAGCTTGACCTTATTCCTGTGCCGAAAGGATAAAAACGAATTTCTTTATTCCGTTTCGGAGAAAATGATCCCAAAAAAAAAAAAAATCCACTGAATTGAAGAAAGTAGTTTAAAGGGAAAGTTTTCATTTCTCTTTTTATATAACTGTGTTCAAAGCTTCTTCACCTTTTCCAGGTCAACTAAAAGCTCAAATGAGAAATAAGATTGCTGATTTCATTTGTAACATTTTCCTGCCTTCAAACTCCACCATTTCAATCAATCTGTTTATTTTTAAAGCATATTTCATCAACAAGGCAGTTATAAGTGCTTTATATCATAAAAACACAAAAAACTAAAATTTATCCAAAATGTTAATTAGTGTTTCATTAATTACGGTGCAAAAGCCACTCTTTTGAGTCTAGATTTAAAGAAACTCTGTGTTTTGCAATTTCTCTGAAGTTTGTTCCAAATTTGTGGTGCATAGAAGCTGCTGCTATTCCTATAAATCAGGGGTGTCAACATCCAGGCCTCCAGGGCCGGTGTCCTGCAACTTTTAGATGTGCGTCTGCTGCGCCACACCTGAACAGAATAATTAGGTCATTATCAAGGCTCTGGAGACCTGATCTACACAAGGAGGAGGTAATTAAGCCATTTCATTCCTGTGTTTTGTGCCTGTGGCACATCGAAAAACTGCAGGACGGCGGCCCTCGAGGACTGGAGTTTGACACCCCTGCTATAAATCATCAAAATTATCAAGTAAATCCTCACATTGGGATAGATTTGCTTGAAAAGCCTTTGGTGTAAATCTTGTCGAGGAGTAAACAGGGTTTATACTCACTGCCTGGCTGCGGTTGCTAGGTAACGGGCGGAGTTCCGTCGGGGTTGCTAGGTAACGGGCGGAGTTCCGCCGGGGTCGCTAGGTAACGGGCGGAGTTCCGCCGGGGTCGCTAGGTAACGGTTCTTCGCTGGGTGAGGCGCGGTGCCTTCGTGTTTTGTGACAGTCGGAAGGTTTTTGAAACGTCACGCTTTTGCAGACACCAAAAATAAATTAAAACGATTACTTTCCGCCAGAGCGCGTCTGCCAATCTGTTTTATTAGCGCCTGATGGTCGCTAAATGTGCGTCTGATGGCGAAGCGGCGGCTTTTAGAAACACAAACCCCTCCGAACATCTTTTTGTGAGCCGGTGTCACAATCAGCCGGCGGGGTGTGCGATGAAAGAGGTCCAAATATGAAAGGTGTAAAATTTCAATGCTAATGAGGGTGTGATTGAAATTAAACAATCAGACACACTTCAAACAAAAAAATGGGAGCCACATTATGTAAATTACTGAAGCATTCATGCTTTTCAAAGGCAGAGGGATCTTTTGTTGCACGTGAGAGACAGCAGAACAAAAGGCGAAATCAAGAGGGAGCTTCTTCTAACGGCTACAGCTTCATCTGCCATGTTAGCTTCTGCTTTTCACTCTGTCCCACTTCTGTGGCTGCTCCAGTCCTCTTCTGAAGTACTGCTGGTATTTATGGATGTAGCTTCACTTCCATATATCACATTTGTAAGTAGTTATGTTGAGTTTCTCCACAGAGGATAGCTTAGACGGGGGAGGTTGATTTTCCCCCTGTCTAAGAAAAGGAACATTTTCTGATACAGAACATCGTGAAATGTTCTCAAATATCACCTCAAGCCGGGTGGGAATTATATGACAGCTAATGAAGGTCTGACTTAATGTTTTTCCAAATATAAAAGCACTTCAATAAACTGTTTTCAGGTAATCAATTCTTGAACAGGTTAGGAGAGGCACATGGTTTATACACAAAATCATTTTTAGATAATGAGATTTTAGTCTGCTTGGTTCTGCCTCTTGTCAGTTTAAATCCAAATAAGCTGCTACTGGCCACATCCCCAACTCAACATTTACACTCGCATCAAAATGGCTGCAAACAGATGCGGAATTATACAGCCATAATTCTTTGAAAAGCAGAAGTGCAGCCTCCTGCACAACCAACAAGAATGCAGCAAGTGGTTTCTGGATAGTAGCAACAAAAGACCAAACCCTTGTCTTTTCCAGCAGCCATTGTAAACCAAATGTCTTGGAGTTACATTTGGGAGGTTTTTGAAACTCATCGTTTTCCAGACACCATAAAATATGAACTTATTACCAAAAAAAAATCAGATTTTTTAAGCTCAGAGTTGAGACCCAAAAATGTGCAAAATGTGAATTTTGCACAATAAACATATTTTAATGTCTGCCTTCTGTACAGATTACAATGAACCAACTATTCTGGTGCAAGGCAGCAGAAGCTGACTAAAAGCACATTGTACCGACACGGGGCCCCAAATCCTGTCCTCCAGAGATCCTGGAGTTTTAGAAGCATCACTTCTTCAATACATCTAATCAGGACGTCATTCAGCTCTGCAAAGGTAACAAGCTATTCATCTGATTCAGAGGTTCTGGAGAAGAGGTGCTTCAAAAAGCTGCAGGATAGCAGCTCTGGAGCACATCTACTGGAAATGGGTCCCATTCAGCTTCACAGTCCTTTCCTGGTGATTGGCACATAGGAAATGAAAAAGTCAGACGTTTTTCCAATCAGTAAACACATCTTACCTTTAAATCCACCCTTATCTTCAGGTTTGATGTTGTTACACAAGGAGCAAAACTCAAAAGTTTGTTAGCTACTTTTAGTATCAATGAGGTGCTAAAACTTAAAAGTAAAAGAAATTCTGTGGAGCCATATTTATCGTTCATTGGGCCTGAGCCAGGGAGAGATGGGCTTCTGCGAGTCTGCAACCTACGAGCAACGGAGTCAGGTTTACCAATTGGTATAACGGACGATGTGGGAGAGAAAGTTTTCTGATGCCGTTTATAGCAGAAGAAGAACTGAACAGAAATGTGGCATCAGATCTGTGGCTCAAAGCTGCTGGACGAACGAACACATTCTGAAGTGTCTAGATGTAATAAATCCACTAACCAGACAAGTTATGTCTGGTTAGTGGGGACATATTATGTAAAGTTCAATTTTCGCAAGTTTTGTTGTTTTGAGTCTCAATTGCTTCTAAAACCGACCAAAGTGCTTAAAAAGAAAACACACGCCCACCCGTGAGCGGCTGTTTTTGAATGAGCAGGTTCAAAAACACCCGAAATGTAACAACACATATCAACAGCCACTGCCTGTTGCCATAACCTGGCAACCCCAGCAGAGCTCTGCCCCATAACCTGGCAACCCCAGCAGAGTGCCAGTTGGTTTGGTCACCTGATTTTACTGCTGTGCAATGGCTGCTGGAACAGCAAAAAAGTGTTTTGTTGTTGACTTACCATCCAGAAACCACTTGCCACATTCTTATTGGTTGTGCAGGAGGCTCTACTTATGCCTTTCGAAGATGTACAGTGGTATAATTGCACATCTTTTTGCAGACGTTTCCACACGCCAGTGTAAGTGTTGAGTTGTGGGGCGTGGCTAGCAGCAGCTTATTTGGATATAAAGTGAGAAGATGCCCTAAAACAGAATGATTATGTGCAAAATATGTCGTGAACATGTTTTGTGTAGACCGTAAGCCGGTCCTAATCTGTTCAAGGAAACTTAATTGGTCAACTGTGACCACACAGTTGTGGCAACCTTAATTAAACCTTGCATCTTTATGAAATGCTGCATTGGAAAGTACTGTTATTTTTTTATTAATCTGTTGTGTTTGTTTTATAGTTGCAAAGGAAAAGCACCACTGGCCATTTGCTTTAAGCTGAATGTTATGAAGGTTGCCATTCACTCTTTGACTGTTTCCACAATACAATTAAATATTTCTGAAGGGAAAACCTCAAAGTAAATTCATTCAACATTTGTTTTTACTGTACCAGCAACAGAAAGCAGGTTTTAACCAAAGCAGGACACAATCTTTATATCAAATATAAACCAAAACCACAAATCAAGGGAACGTAACCCCTCCTATACATAATTTTTACCTCTTTCAGCAGGACGACTCGTCTTAGACTTTCTGTTCCCTCCATCTTTAGGCCTACAGTGTATTTTTTTATCCAAAGACAGATGGGACAGCTGTCATCTTATTTCAGAGGTTTTATTAATCCACTTTAGTTCAGATCTTTTGACACAGTCGGCTCTCAAACTGCTCCAGTTATACGTCGTTACTTGTGGTGTTATTGCAATATGGCATCCCGCAGGGCTCATTTCTAGGCCCTGCTTTTTGTTTTTGTGCATGCTGCCTCTAGTAGGTATAATATTCATTTATACCTGCAGATGATCTCAAATTGACTTTATTACCTTGTAAAAACCGACATTAAGTCATGATTGGAAACAATTTATTTTTAGTTTAAATGAAATATAGCAGATTATCTTCATTGAAACTGATTTTCTCAAATTTGTTCATTTCTTTAGGTCCAATAACTTACTGTTATAAAAAAGGAAAGGCTTACCTTCCCCAAGTACATATTTGGCCAAATGCAGTGAAAAGTTGTCCGTAACAACCTCAACAAAAACAGCCCAATCTGGCAACTCTGTTTCTGAAAAGCGAAACGTTAAACGGATCAAATCAATTTGATCTTGATCTGCTTTCGCTCACACTGCTCACACCAGACTGAAGACTCTTCAAACCCCAGGAAAATGTGCCAGTTATCTGTAGTTATCATCTGAAGCACATTATCCAGCATAAATTGTGCCTCAGACTTGATTAGATGGGATTACATTAGTGAAACTGTGTAATTCTCCATGGGTTGTTAGAACAGAATGAAACTGGTGGGAAAGTGTTTTCTTTTCGCAGGAATAACAGCCGATTTCCGACGAGTATGGAGGCGAGCGGGACGCACCTTCGTCTGGAATTTCTTCTTTCTGTCTGGCAGTAGGTAGATCTTCACGTACGGGTCGGAGAAGCCGTTGGCGTCCTTCGCTGGCAGGTCCAGAGCTTTCAGTATCTTAACCACCAACTGCTCCGTACTGAGACAAGACAAAAACAGAACCGAATTATCCGTAAAATAAGACATGAAGTCAGGGCTTGCACAACAAACACGCCGAGACTCAGACGGGATTAGCCCACACACAAACACTGAAACACCTGTGCTGAACTCGTGCACACAAATTGGAGTGGGAGTGTTGAGAGTCTCTGGAGAAGAAGAAAAGGAGCCAGAATAGCCGGTGTGTGTTTGTGTGCGCCATCTCCAGAGCTGTATCATGGTTGCACCGTCAGCAGAGCTAAATGTGAGCTCAGTGAGCGCAGATGTACAGAGAGTTACACAGAACGGAGCTCGTTTATTATCTTTATTACCCTGGGATCTGTATCGAATGCACCGATCCGCTTCATCCACTGCTGATACCAATTAGTTTCGACCGATGCTGATTCGATTCACAAAACAATGCTGAACTTTTTATTTAAAAATGCTTTGTTTTTAAATAAAACACAGACATAAATGCACTGAATTACAAATATATTGGATAACTCTGCAACAAAAGGTCCTAAACAGAAAATCTTTACAGAACCTGAATCAGGTGAAGCTGAGCCACATGAGGAGTTTTGGGTAGAACAGACAGAAGCTTTTTATCTTAAAGGTAAAATATATGTATTTTTTTTTACTTAATTACTGCTCTAAATATATTATTCTTTCAGCAAATTGTCTTTTTTATCTGTATGCTCTGGTTAACAATTAATCAATTGTTTCATTAATCGATTAATCATAATTAATCATTTCAGCCCTAATCTAAAGTAGACGTTGTTTACGGATGGCTGACAGAATAAGACTCAGAATGTGTTAAACTGGACTCTGGAATAGCGGAAAAAGCCACTCAGTCCAGAACCCTTCAGGCGGCGGATCACCATGTTATGCTCTGTAGCTTTTCCTACGTTTCCACACAAAAACATGTTGAAAGGTTGTTAGAAATTGGACAATCAGCAGCCTTTGTATAAAAATAGCTCAACAGCCTCTTTCTGCACAAACGCACAAATAAACCAAGCGGGACCGAAAATATCTTTCTGTCACGCAAACAAACATAAGACGTCTGCGCGCGCAGGACGGCTCTGATGTCTACACATACGAACGCTTCGCCGTTTATTATGCATTTAATTACCAGATGAAGATGAGGACAGCTCGGAGGCTTTTAATCAGACCTCGTTAGGCTGCGTCTCCATGTGTTAACGAGGCTGTCAGCACTTCATTTACTGCCGTATAGGAGGCCGGCGTGAGCTGGAGGCTTAGGGCGGATCAGCGGGGCAAACGGCAGACAGTGACCCCGCAGCAGCTGCAACGTCCACAGGATGCATGTTGACATGAGAGCCGTGGTAAATCTGGACAAGCGTTTACCCCCCGACTCTGATCCAGCCGCATAAACATCCCTCCGCCGTAGCCGGGGCAAATCAAGATGATGCTGCACCGTGTTACACTTCAGGATAAATGTTTACGTTTTCTAATTAATTAACCAGATAAATAATAGCTGGAAAGTAAAAGAAACTAATGCAATAAAGCCTCTTATTAGTAGGATTTATACACGACTTCCAGAGAAAAATTCAAGCATATTTAAGGTAAATAATGGGATCAAAAAAAGGCTACTTCCATTAACTTTAATATAATGTAGTTTATTACTGTTTTTAACAGTGTTTTATGATTGTATCCTGCTAAAACTAAAATATAACAAAACTTTATGTTTTAAACGCTGATAAAAATAATAAATAACGTTGTTTATCATATGAAATATAAATCTAAGTTTACTTTATTTCAATTACACAAACCAACAAGTAATTTAGCCATTAGGAATATTAAATATTCATTACATCAGTGGTGTTTTTTTTTTAAAAGGTTTTTCTCCTGAGGCCAAAACTGACTAATTTAATTTACTTGCTGCCACAAAATTCATAAAACTAAAAATGCTGCTTGTTTATTAATAAGGAAAATCAATAATGAAATCTCAAAATACTGACAAATTTAAATTACATCCGGGCCACAAAATTCAATAAACTAACAATGCTAAAATTTGTTAATTGTGATTTTCTTAATTTTTTAGATTTAATGCTTGATAAAAAACAAAATGTAGATAAAATCTAGACATCCTTAGGCTCCAGACTTATTAAAAAAAAAACAAGTCATTTCCTAATTATGGTGTGATCAGTTGGCCAAATTTTTAGTACTCTTGATTTGTGGTCAGGGGCCAAATAAAAATGGCCCCCGGACCGCACTGTGGACACCCCTGATCTACATTAAAACAATCCAAACAAATCGTGTGAGGGCCGGACAGTAAATCAATAAATCAATAACAATATCAGTCATGACAGACACGTGATCAATACAAATAGATATTCTCCAATAGAGTGTTGAATAATTTCACTGAACTCCGATCCAAAACCACACTGCATTCTGGGAGATGTAGGAAAGACCGTCGCTGCTCAACCTTTGGCCAGTTAAGAGGAATCAACTAGCAGCAGCCTGTTAGCTTGCACAGCAGCGGTTCCAGGTTTCACCTTATAACTGTTTAAAAATAAAATAGTAACTGTGTGGAGTAAAAGGAGAAAAAGACTATAACAGTTTGAGATATTAAAATAAAAATCCAATCAACAATCATCGACTGATATGAAACAATTGTATCGACTTTTCAATTCTACTAAACAACCTTCATCCTCAAATTAAATACTGAAACAGAATATAGAGAATATATTTTCTTTCTGTGTATATTCACTTAATCTCAACACCTGTATTAGATTTGCTTATACCACAATTTAAAAAAAATATCTAAAAATGTTCTCACTACATTTTCTGGTATTTAGAAACAATTTGTTCATTCTAACACTAAAGCAAGACTTTTTATATTAGGCACATGAAAATATCTTGTTTTAATGATAATGTTTTCCAAATTTAGGCTTTTAATCAAACACTAAATGGAATTTATTACAAAATATCAAGCACTTTCCAAGCCTTGGAAACATAAAATTGAAATGAAATAATTCTTAAGGATTTTAAGGACCTGCATTGGAGAATAATTCAGGATTTCTTGATGTTTCCCAGAGCGAATACACCTATCGCAGCTCAAACTGGGCTTCACCACCTTATTCCTGGCAGACAGCACGGAAAGCTTGCCGTTATTCCCTCTGTGGAAACGTGTCAGCTTTTAATGGGGCTGTCAATAGAAATGCGTTTCCCAGAGGACCTGAGCGGGTCTGACATTGTTGTTGCCGTCTGTTAGCGGGTCTCACACATTAACGCACCAATCCCATCGCAAGGTGAGTGAGTGTTTGCAGCACCGCCAACCTTTGTTGTTTACTCCATAACTACAGACACAGACATTATCTGCTGACTTAAAAGAGATGCAGGAATGGCTTTTTTTTTGTTGCTTTTTTCTCCATTAGGCTAATTCTTTGCGTTTGTCCTTTGACGTTAGCGCCGTCTGCGGTTCTGATGCGTCGGCAGGGCTCCTGCTCAAACCGGCTCATATATATAATTCATGAATGAAACGGTCGCACCCTTTCTTTTCTCTGACCATCAGCACTTTCACGTTTTGCAATGTTTCAACGTGTCAGGGCAGGAAGGGATGCAGAGCTGCCCCCCTGCAGATCCAATATGCCCTTCAGAGCCCAATGGCTCCAGAACTGATCTGATAAATCAGCATTTATCAGATCGATTCGATAACGATCAGTGGTCAATAATACCAATACCCCATCCCAAAAATAAAGAGTGTGATCGTGCATCATAAATGCGTCACATACTGATGGTATAATTCTCATTAGGTTAGCATTCGCTTCACTGAAGATAGAAAAAAATTGAGTTAATTTTCACTGAGGAATTCTGAAATTTTGAGATTAATATCAGAAATCTTCTAGAAAAAAACAGAAAAGTTTCTGACCTTCAAAAGTCAAACAGTTTGAAAAGTTGAAACTTGTCTACGTTTCAAACTCAAATTTCTTTATTTTAGGAAAATGTTCGAGATTAATCTCAAAATTTCAATTCTTTTTCTAGAGAATTTTGAGTTTTTGAGCTGCAAAAGTAGAGAATTTGCACAAAAAAAAAAAAAGAACCTTGGAAACTGAAATTGCTCTGAGACAGTGTCTGGAAAAAAACAGAAATTTCTGACCTCAAAAAGTCAAAAACTTGCGCAAAAAAAAATTGGTAATTTTGAAATTTATTTTGGAAATTTCTGACCTCCAAACTGAAGATTTCCTGAACAAAAATGTTTGAGATTAACAAAAAACAACAAACAAACAAAAAAAGACATTTCTGACCTTCAAAAGCCAAAGAACTGGAAGAAAAAAAATCTCAGAACTCAGAAATTTCTTGATCAATGTCAGAAATTTTCTGGAAAAAAATAATTTCAGAGCCCCAAAAGATGAAGATTTGCGAGAAAAAAAATATATATATATAACTTAATTTTTCAGCAGCACATAGGAGTTTGTTTTAGGTAAATAGTATTAATTTTATTGGTTGATTATTGAACTAATAAGACATATTTCCCATAAGAGAAGTAATCTGCCAAAAAATTTGAGTTTAATCTCTGAAATGTCCTGGGAAAAAAATTACATTTTCTGAGATCTAAAAGAATTTGTGAGAAAAAAACCCGCAGAAATTCTTAGTTTGGGCTCAAAATTTCAGATTTCTTCTAACAAATATTCTACTTTTCAAACTCAAAACTTTGGAAAGTTTTTTGTAGAAAGTTTCTGAGCTTAATCTCAAATTTCTGAGTGATTATCTCAATTGGCAGATTACTTCATTTACTGTAAAAATGTCTCGTTATTCGCTAAGTAATCTATCAATGAAACTGATATCTTTTTTTATATTAATGAATTATTTACCTGGAACAAGCTCCTTTTTTCTGCTGAAAAGTTAATCATAAGTTAGTTTTGTCTTGTTTCATGTGTACTAAGATGTTGGCACTAAAAACTAGACTAAAATTACTTTGGAGGGTTGTGTTTTTGCAGTGCAGAACGGTTCCCTGACGATCTTCTCCTTCAGGTGAGTTTTGGGATTCGGTTCTGCTGTCTGGCGCTCACATATCCATCATGGCCGCCGTGTCAGAGACTCCTTTGATCTCTGCTTGGTGTAACATTGGAGGTCAAACTTCTTCTCCCAAACTGCTCCAGTCATTTCACACATGACACCAATGCAAGAGGAAGGAACCTTGGGCCGGAGGAAGAGCCAGTGTCGGTCTGAATACGTCTCAAGACTCTCACTGTGTCTTTTCAGATTATGTTTTCATGGTTTCTCCATTAACATGAGACCCTCTTTAAACCACTTCTGCTCCTTCACACATAACCCAATCAAGCAAGTCGGTGAAAGCTTTCACAGCGCTGCAGGGCATCGCAGATTCAAAAGGAGCGGCTGGTGTTATGCATAAAATGTGGGTCGGATGTTCAGCATTGTCTTAAAAACAGGCAAGCCGCGGTTCACACTGCACAGTCCAAGCCGCTTTCAAGCATTTTCAAGGTAGTTTTTTAAACTTTTTCAGCACCACACTCACTCACTATCACTGTTATTAATGATAATATTCAACATTCTACAGCAAGTAAAGTATAACAAACATTTATGCTTTGAAAAGTCTCACTGTCAGCAACAAACTGGTCCGAGAACAAAACACTAATTTACCAAAAAAAATCCCCCAATTTTAACCTATGAAATATGAGACGATCAATAAGTTATTGATCCATTAGGAATGATAAATATCTATTACATTAAAACAAACACATTATGTTAAAAATTAAATTAAATGCTTAAACATAATAAAGAAAGTTACAAATAAATCTCTAAAAAACATGATCTCTGTCAATTCTGTAGCATTTAAAACTTAACAATCAATACTTCAAAAAAAATAAAACCTTAGTATTTAGAAAATATTTAAGTAATTCTAAATTTCCATAATCAATAAAAGTTTAGTTTGGTTTAACATCACACATGGAGGAAGTCACTGTATTTTCTGTATGAAGTCAGAAATCAAAATTTATACATGAGTCCCACTTTAATTTGAAAGTGACTAAAGTGAAACTTTTCAGAGAAAAATTCAAAATTCTGAGGAAAAAACTTGAGTTTAAACTTTAAAATTCTAAGGGGAAAAAATATCAAAGTTTTGAGAAAATAAATAAATAAATAAAAATCAAAACTCTGATTTAAAGTCAGTTTTGAATTCTGAAAATGTGAGTGTCTTGATCCAGAGTATGAAAATATCTGATTAAAAGCCTCAATCTGGAAAAGGTTATTTAAAGTTGAAACCAAAACTCAGATCGCACATTATTACAGAATTATTATTATATAGATTAAATATCAAACACTTTTAATGACTTTACAAAGAAATGAAAAACTTTCCAAACCTTAAAAACAACATGAGCAAAAGCTGGTCAAGTTGTTCTGATTAAAGCCAAATTGACCAGTGCTTCCTGTTCTGCATTTTCCCAGTTAAGTTTATTAAATTAGAGTAAACCTTCCCGTCAGAGTGTGCAGCCGGCCGTGGTTTGCTTACTTGAAGGCGTAGCGCAGCAGGAAGCAGATCTTGCCGCAGGTGTCGCCCTGCTTGCCTTCGCCCTGATCGCCTTTGGGCCTGTAAAGCTCCGGCTTGATCTGCCCGATGCAGGTGACCTGCTCCTTCTCCTCGCCGTGGAAATCAGGGCTGGAGAGCTGGTGAGTCATGGGCTTGGGTCTGAAGTCACACGAGGAGTCAGAAATATGAGGAAAACGCATGAAAAATAGAAACTAGAGGCTGTGCAGCCTGGTGAATCTGCAGGTTATTTTCTCTTTTACCTTCTGACTGAACGAAGCATAAATGAAGAACCAGTTATGGGCTTAAATAATTTCTCCTTTGTTGTTGAATTTCTTCATGTTCATTTGATGTTGTTGTCAATTTTATGCTGTCAAATCTGTTATATTTAAGGGATTTATTGATTTTGAAGCATAGTTATGTATACTTTATATTTTTCATATGTTTGCATTGGCTTTTTTCTCAGAATTATTATTTTTTTTAATTTTCATTTTGTTCTCAGAAATCATATTTTTGTCGATTTTTGATTTCTCAGAATTATGTCTTTTTCCATGAACTTATAAGTTTTTCTTTGAATTCATATTTTTTAAAAACTCAATATTTTTACTTTTTTGCATGAAATTTTAACTTTTTTTCTCCTCCATATTCTGACTTTTAATCTCAGAATTTTGACTTTTTTTCTCAAAATTCAGATTTTTTTCTCAGAATTTTGACTTTTAATCTTGTGAGATTAAACATCAGTGATCCCCATTGTCTTCTGTACCAGGGGGCCACATCAAAAGAACTTAAATATTTTCTTATCAATCAAATCAAAGTTTTTAAATCACATACTGTCAAATTACATAATTATTTAATTTTAAGAAATACTTCCCAAACATAGAGCTATTTATTAATCCTTGAAAAGTTTTTTAATGAGCTTTATCAAAACATTTGGGGACAACCGGTCCTTTGAGGACAGACAGTATAATATTTATTTCTCTTTAAACAGTGCTGTCCTAATCATCTCTGTTTGACCTTCTGCCTGGATTTCACCAAACTTTTTTCTGCGCATAAACGCAGAAAAAAGAAGCTCCAATAATCAATAATTCCAGGTGGTTTTTGGATGCCACTTTGCAAACTCAAGCAGATTTTTTCAGCATTGCAGAATCTGACCTGAGGCTGAACTTTGTGAGACGACTGGCGGTTTGTGTTCAGACACGTTTTTTGCACTAGTTGACATTCAATGACATTGATTTTAAACAATTAGCATGCATTAAGTTCAGAGGCGAGGAATCCGACTGCTGACTGACCGCGGGGTGACCTGCTGCTGGGAAAGGGCGTTGGGCAGCTCTTTGTTGGGATGGGCCCCGCCCTCTGAGTTGGGGACATCCGGCGATGTTTGACTCAGCTTCAGAGTCCCTAGAGAAGCCAAAACAAACCCGTCTGTCTTAGTTAATGCTGCCGACAGTCCGAGATGGACAGAGCACCCAGGAATTACACTATAGTAAGAGCAGCACTGCTTTCACACGTTTACTCAAGTAAAAGTAACAAAGTAGCCGTCCAATAAATTACTCAAGAGTAAAAATGTATTTGGTAAAAATCTACTCAAGGACGAACTAACTCAGAAGTTTCCAGACCGGGTTAAAATTGGAGAACCAAAAGTAGTTTTGGATCAAAAACAAACCAACGTAAAATCAAGACAACAATAAACTAGCCTGATGTAGAAATACTCCTAAAAGCAAATTTTCTCAAAAACAAAAAAATGACATAAGTGAATGTAACTAGTTACTACCCGACTGTGCCGACAGTAAGACTAAAAAACCAGAAACAGGCTGTTGATCGACATCCGGACCGTGAAGGACAAGCAGAGCTGTGGAAGAACGGCGGCCATTTTTTCTAACTCTGTAAATAATAAACAGCAGCAAAAACTCACAACAAAAAAATTAATTTGCTGGAAAATCAAAGAGCTTCAGTTCCAGTTTGTAAAATATAACTAGGAGTGATGCAAGTAATTTAATATGACCGAACATAAATAAATAAAAAGCATGAACACGTAAATATGTTGATCTAAAAATGATCTATAAATGAGAGCAGAAAAAATTAGATATAAGATGCTCAGACTTGGACACTAATCGATTAAAACTAAAAAATAAATAAATATAAAGCCGCAGGTTGGTGCAAAAGGGGCAATACTCACCAGCATTGTTGGGGTAAGAGTCCATGTCCAGGTACGAATGCTCCTGGGTCTCGTTTGGGCCCCCAGCCACGCCTCCGCCCTCCCCTCTCTCCAGCCCCACCAGGTCAGAGAAGTGGGGGTGTCCCTGCTGCCCCAGCGAGGGGTAGAGCGAGGAAGAGGATTGGCCCTCCTTCCTCTGCAGCAGCGGGGGTAAAAGCGACGGCCCCGCGGCCCCTTGCAACCCGGCGGTCCCGGGCAGCAGCCCCGACGTCAGGCTCAGCCCGCCGCCCTCCTTGTCGCGCCATGGCAGCCAGCAGAGCTTCCAGGAGACGAAGAGGGACACGGAGAGGAGGACGATGCCGCAGAACGTCACGATGACCGACAGCAGGCTGACGGAGATTTCTGCAGAGAGAGGAATGGAGAAACTGAAGCATAGAGGATCCACCGATCCACTTCCAATACAAATACCAAGATCTGATCGGTATCTCCTGATGCCGATCAGATACGGAAAAACATACGTCTCTTTTTTAAACACAGAAAGTAACTTTTCAGCATGATTAGCTTGATTTATTTAAATAATTCCTTAACAATAATAAAAAAACATCCACTGGCAGATTATTTCACTTATAGCAGGGATGTTCAAACATTTTGTTTAACTTATAAGTAGAAACACACTGTTCCACTATCTTCACTTCTATTATCAATACCGATGTCTGAAGTATAGGATCGGTCAATACGATTCAGAAATCAGTGTTGGACAGACGCAATATGTTTATTGTTTTTTTTAACACAGACATAAATGTACAAATTTGTTTCATGGCTCTGCACCAACGGCTTCACAAGTTTGGTCAAACATGTAAAAACAACAACTTTAATTTGTTCAGTCAGTTCAGTTAGGAAGATAAAAGTTAATAGCTGACAATATAAATCCATGATTTGACAATTGAAAACAAACCTGCTTAATGGAAACAGCAATTTTGAAAAAACAAATTTTTCACTGAGTTGAGGTACATTTTTTTTGGCTATATTGAAATTGGTTTATTTTGTAAAACTGGCATTGAAAACATGTTTTTAGTAAACCGAGTCTCATAATAGACATCTGGATGTTACTGCTGGTGAAAACCACAAAGAAGATGACCACAGGAAGTAGTTCCATAGTGACAAGGATGCATGTTTTTTACCAACTTATCACATAAAAAACGTGATTTTGATCATTTTTCTTATGATAGGAAACACAAGAATTATGAAATTGTGTTTTTTTTTTTTTACAAACATTCACACATTTGCAGTGGAAACCCAGAAACTGACAAAAAACAATAGTTGGCTACTTTGGTCAAACATTTAAAAAATAAACTGAAACAAACCTTTCAAATTAATCAGAAAGTGCAATTAGGAAATCTAAACAAATAATAAAGCATAGAATTAAACTGAATAGATCTGCTCTTATGAATCATTTACAGAGTTTTTACAACATTGGGATCAATACAGATATTAATATCGGATCGGAAGAACATGTTTCAAGTTGGCACCCAGAAGTTCAACATCTTTGGTTTTTATTTTAATCCCAGTACAACAAATACCCCAAATGACTGTGTGGGGGTTTGCAACAATCATGATTCACCTTAAGAGGTGAATAAACAAGCACTTGATGTTGCAAAGCCCAAATGATGAGGCAGGATTTGTCATGTGACGTTGTAAAAAGCTTTATCCATCTCGCTGGTGCCACAACAACGTCAAGATGAATGTCGCCAACATGAATAAAAACAACAGCCTTGTCTCCAAACGCATGCTATAAACACATCATGCATATGCCAAACTAAAGCACCATTAACACAATATCTGCAAATCACACATCAACGCCAGCAGCCGCAAGCAGAAAGTGTAATTTGCAGTCATTCGCTGAACCTTTTATCCGAGCTGGAAATGGGGGCAAACGCTGGCAGGAAGAAAAAAAAACGACAAGACGGGAGGAGGCGATGATGACGATGGCAATTAATAATCATTAAAAAAAAACACACCCACAGTGATGTCATCCTGCATTTCTTCACAGTTATGAGCCTTTTAATCTCCGACAGGTTAGTGGGGGAGCGCGTGGGGCCAGACGGTGGGGGAGAGAATGACTCATTCGAGCAAAAACGCTGGACTGAATAAAGTCCAGAACATTTCCATCAAACAGAGCAGTCAGACGTTTACATACACTCAGTCACCCTGATTTAATGTGATAGATTTGGTTTGTTCTCCTAGCATGTTGCACCTGCCAGTGCCAGGCTCATGCTGCCTGGATATTTGATCACTTTCCTTTTCAGAATAAGTCGATTTCTTTGAACAGGTCCAGTTTTTAAGGATCATCCCCACATTTTTAATAACATTTGAAGTAAAGGCTGGTCCAGAAGCTGTTGGATTCACTCCGTAGAAATACCGAAAAGTGTCTAGATGTAGCCGTCTAGCTGTTTGAGTTCCATTAATTGGCTAACATGCTAATAGCAGAGCTAATTTTTTATTCAGTACTTTAGCTAATTTTGAAAATATTTAGCACTTAGCTTCCCCTAAATTAATTTTTCAAGCTAAAGTAGACACAGGCTGGATATCTGACAACTCTAAATTTCAGAACTGGTATAGGTCAAAGGTCATCCACAAATCAACAAATTTTCAATAAGACTGAAGTCAAGAATAGTCCAGAAGTTTAAAGTTAGCCTGCTGAAGTCACACCGAAACCAAATTAGCTGTGTATTTCTTTCTGTTTCCCCCAGGAACACCCAACTACTGATTTAAACAGCATTTGGTACATTTCCACTAATCCGCTAACATGCTAATAGCAGAGCTAATTTTTCATTTAGCACTTGAGTTTTTCTAACAGTGAAAATGTTCAGCACAATGTATTTTCAAGAGCAAATTCTGAAGTGTTATTATATTTGGCTGTTTTGTAAACTTTCATCATTTTTAACATTAGCTTCTACTAAATAACGTGTTGATGTAGAACTTTAGCATTAGCTTCCACTAAATAACATGTTGATTAAGGTATTTAGCATTAGCTTCCACTAAATAACATGTTGATTAAGGTCTTTAGCATTAGGATCCACTGAATAACATGTTGATTTAGCACTTTACTATTAGTTTCCATGAAAACTAATGCATTAGTTTCCATGCATTAGTTAGCACTGCTAACAGTGCCATGTTAGTTGTGCTAAAGTGGCACTGCTATGCTTACAGTGCCATGTCAGCATACCACTGTGTTAAGAGAACTAACTTTGCCCACTACTGGATCTGAGCTTGTGTAAATCACCTGTTACACGGAAAAATGGAATGGAACCACACCATAACGCTGCCACTGCCATGCTTGACAATTGATTAATTATTTTCTTTGAAAGGTTTGAATGGTTTTCATTTCAGCTTCAGCTCCATTCATCTGTATGTTCCTAAACTTACAGTCAAAGACAGCATTACATAGAACAAGGCAACTCTGGAGGAGCTGCAGTGATCCATAGCTCAGGTGGGGGAATATTTCAGTAGGAGCATAACTGTTCACTCCAAAATCTTCCATCAAATTGAAACTTTTGTTGAAGACAGAGATAAGAAGTCCTATTTACAGTTTGCCACAAACTATGTAGGTGACACAGCAAAAGTGGAAGAAGGTGTTCTGGTCAGAAAAGACCAAAATAGAGTCTTTGGCCTACATGCAACCCTCCATGTTCAGCAGGGAAAAAGAAGCCGGTCAGAGTTGATGGGAAGATGGATGGAGCAAGAAATCTGTTAGAGGCTGCAAAAGACTTGAGACCGATTCACCTTCCAGCAGGACAAACACTCTGAAAAGGTTAGAATATTCTACTTAGTTATTAGAAAGTACTGACTAAGGAGTTGTAAATATATATGGGTGTCATGTTTTTCAGACTTTTACTTTTAAAAAATTTTGAAAACCAGTTCATCCATTCAGTGGGGAGCACCGCTCACTTAAAAGCTAGTTGCACTAAACCCTAAACCACCAATTATAAACATTGTAATTTGCTAAATCTCAACTGCTACACCAGCATTTGGCTGAAGCTACTGCTAAAGCACTAACTTTAATTCACATTATATCTGCTCTTGTAACACTACAATCCATGATTATCAATTTAATTTTGACTTTACAATTTACCTCTTCAATTATGCCCTTATTATGTGTATTTATGTTTATATTTAGTTCTCTACTGTCTGTGTTTTATCTTGTACCTTTAAGTTTTCTGTTTGAAATAAAGGAAAAAAAGAGAAAACATAAAAACAGGAAATGAAACTATTGCATAAACATTCTTTGCTTACTTCAAAATAAGAGCATGAATAAAAATAATTGCTAACGATTTCAACGCAACTGAAAATTTACAGTTGTGCCAAGTAAATCAGTGCTTCAGAAATTATCAGGGAAAATGTGTTTAAGGGAAGCTAAGGGCACAAACGTTTTCAGATTTAGGTAAAGAGCTAAAGGAAAAATTAGCGGGTTAGCGTGTCAGTTAGCGTGTTAGCTGACACGCTAACCCATGCGGTGGGTAGCGTGGGGTAACCACCGCTAACAATTTGCAGTTATGCACAGCTTCGTGTTCGTCTATCACACAAAATATCCAACAGCAGAAGTTTTGGTTGTCATGTGAATAAATGTGAAAATGTGCTTCATGAGCTTCTGACCACAACTGTGATAGCAAACACATGCTTTCTAACTTCTGCACATGCTGGGGACCTGGTTGCATTAATATTTATAGATAAATAGACTAAATATACAATGAATATTTATTCTTATCCTGGAACCATTTGAAGTCTTTTTATAAATAGCACTTTCGGGTCTGATGACTGTCTTGATAAAAACGGACCAATCGGCGCTCACACTGAGCCGAGTCCCAGAGCTCTGCACATGAATATGGATGGTCTGTGTGTAGACCAAGCAGACTCATTACAGATCTGCAGACTGTCCACCGGAGTCTTCGCAGTAAAAATGGCATATTTTGCCTTCTTGGGTTGCTTCCAGACCACAGATTAGGATTAGAAAATTCTTCCTAAAGGTTCCTTTGGAGGCGTTACAAGACAATAACTTTAGATGTGATTAGGGCTGCAATTAAGAAATATTTCAGTAATCGATTAATCACTTATTCTAACGATTAATCTGAAAAATAAAGTTTGGCACATTTTGCTATTTTTTATTTAAGCCTTTTTATACATAATTACTGCTTTGAATGTGAGGTTCTTTCAGGAAAAGACATTTTATTTGAGTCTATATACTGCAGTTAACAATCAACTGCAGTATAAAAATTAGTTGACAATTATTTCAATCAATCATTTCAGCTCAATGTGTGATAACGTCAAATAAAGATGAAAAAGCCTATATTAATCGCGATTAATCACAATTAATCTGATTAATCGTTTAAGCCGATGTGATATAACGTCATAGATGCAACAAGCTTATTTTAGCCGCGATTAATCTGATTTATTGTTTCAGCCCTGGATGTAATAACATCACAAAGGCGAAACAAGCTAATCGTTTATTTAATGGCTACATTTCTACCCATCATTCCTTGCCGTCTTTTCCTCTCCACACTTTCCTTCAGCATCTACCTCTTCTGTTCGTCTTTCCTCCTCTACTCTGCTTTCTCGCTCTCTTGTTGCTGAATTATTCATCAGTCTGTGTATGTCATTAATCAGTACTTGTTCAAAAGATATGATTGGAGTGCGGAGAGGACGGGGTGGGGGTGGAAACCCGATTCGGTGGAGAGCAAGATGAGGGGAAGAAAAGAAAGAAGGGAAGAGAAGAAGAGCAGGATTGGTCCAGGTGGAGGAGGAGGGGAGAAAAGATGAACCTGAAACACGTATTGGAGCCGACATGAAAGCTCCACAGAGGCGGCAATAGAGGAGGAAATTGACACAACAGGGGTGGGGCCAAAGAGGGTAGCGGGGCGGGGCACCAGCTGCTCTTGAAATCTGATTAGCTGCACTGCCTGGCCACTCCCACCAGAGCTGATATCGCATATACATTGACTATTTGTTGCTTTATGACTTCCATTCATAGTTTTTCTGTTGTTTTCAAGTTGTTTTTTTATATATTAAAGCTGCAGTATGTAACTTTCATTAAAAAAAAATTTTTTTAATGTTTTTTACATATTTGTTGAAATTGTTGCAATGTAACAGAATTAGAGGAAAAATAGTGAGCTTCTCTATCTTCTCCCAGTGGTAGCAAGAAACAACCAATCAGAGCCAGGAGGCGGAGCTTAACACTGTCAATCACAACCTCTTGTGACACTGCTTATGCCCTTATTAAAAGGCTAACTGGTTGTAATGCTCATGCTAGATCATGTTAGCTAGTGCTTATGCTAACTAAGAACCATTTAAAATGAGCTAAATTAGTGCTAGTTAGTTTGTATTGTACAGAGATTAGTGTTTTACGTCATGATTAATCTGATTAATCATTTCATTAGCACTAATGAGCTAAATCTGGCAAACCTGCTGCTTGGGCTCCTAACAAGAAAAATCTAGAAATGCCCCTGCATACCAGGTGTGAAAGAGCAACGCATAAACAGAAATAATAAGCAGAGGAAGAGCCGTGGAAACTCAGATGAAGGAGCTTGACAGTGATTTAGAGGAAAACACCTGAAGAGCTTCAGACGTGTAAGGTGAATGCATTGATCTGCAGCAGCAAAACAGAAGGAGAGCAGTAGGTTGTGTCAGGCTGGGAGATCAGTGCTGCACTGAAGTCACGGATCTGATCAAACGTGTGCAGCTGCAGTCGGTGGGGTAAAAACGGCTCCCCTCCATTTGTAGCCGTAGCATCTTGAGCACTGATCCTGCCAGAGATCCGTCACTAATCCACCGAGCATAAAGAGCGAATCAGCAGGGGGCCGGGCTGCCGGGCTGCAGGGCGGGCTGCCGGCCTCTGAAGCTCGCCGTGAGGAGCGGCTGAGGCTCCCTGTCACTCAGCGACTGACTCAACCCCCGCTGGGAGCCGTACGATCCTCTACATCAAACGCATCTCCGCTGCTTACACAAGCCATTCGCTGACAGCTTTCGGCGTTCGGCGGACCTCTGGGGGAACGGACGTTTCCATCAGCAGCTCTGCGCCTAAAGCTGCGGCCTGGCATGTCCGCAGAGAATCGGACAAACCTCAGGAGGAACGCCAGCCAATCGAGCCAAATCTACACTGAGCCAAAGATCCATGCTAACCGGTGTAGCTCACCCGAACGTCCCCATGGAGCCCACGCACAATACCAACTCAGCAGTTTACCAGGAACAACTCAGACTGGGTTCATGTAGTGCTGCCTCTGCATAAGAACAGAATAATCTGATTATGCAGATGCTAGGCTGGAACTTGTCTTGCTTCATTGACGTTGTTCTCCCTGTGCAGGTGGGGGTTCTCTCTGGGTACACCCGCTTCCTCCCAAAGTCCAAAATCATGATGTAAACTGGCCTCTCCAAGGATTTACTAGGTAGTGAAAATGGAAGAGGTTGTGGCACCACAGGGAAACAACCAGAAGCAACTCGTAAGACATGAAGGTGGGAACAGTGGGATCTGCCGATTACCTAAAGAGGATTCACATTGTGCACGACTTTGTATTTCCATTGGGTCTCAGCTGCTTTTAAATGAACCAAAGCTCCTAAAACAAAACACCTGAAAAACATCCAGACATTTTTTGGGAATAACTTTTTTTTTTGTCTTTGGAAAATGAACCATTTCAAAAACCCTCTAACTGAATCACATTCAACTGGCACTGCGCCATTACCCAGCAACCCCGGCCAAGCCCAGCCCGTCACCTAGCAACAGAAGCAGAACTCCAGCACATTTGGTCAACTGGTTTTACCTCTGTACAATGGCTGCTGAAACAGAAAAGTGATTTGCTGTTGCAGAAACCATTTGGTGCAATCTTGTTGCTTGTGCAGGAAGCACCACGTCTGCTTTTCAAAAATGTAAAGTTATAAAGTTGTGCATCGATTCGGAGCCATTTTCACATCTGAGCGTAGACGTTGAGTTAGTGGGCGTGGCTGGCCAACAGAAGCTTATTTAAAGTGACAGTACGCCCTAAAACATTCTGAAATGCGTAGACTACATTCTCATTATCTAAAAATTATTTTGTACAAAAAAGATGTAATCTAGTAAATTGGGAGAAAACTTTTAAAATTGTAGTAAAACTGGCTTCACTTCGAACATGAGAAAAATGTTTTGTTATAATTGGAATGATCGACCAGTGGAACCACAAATTTTCAATCAATATTAAGGACTTAAAATAAGCTCCTACATTTTGATAAAACAATTGCATGAATGTTTATTTTATATTATTTCAAGTATACATCGATAACAGCACTACAAATTAGACCAAAGACCTTGGTAAGATTTAGTGTTTTTGCAGTGAAGTCTTAAATCTGACTGAGTCGCGTTGAAACATCAATATTTCATCAGTTACCAGGTGAAATTTAATTACTTCAAACTTAAATCTACCAGCGATATGAATGATTTTGAGCTTAGCTGTACATATAAATAACAGTCTCTTGTTTCCTTTGGGCATCTTAAAAGAAATGCAATGACTCCAACCATCAACATTTCAATATGCAACATGAATATTTCATGATTTGTTTTTCCGAGTCGTCTCAGCGTCGAACTATTCTTAAACAGGAACGCCTGTCAGATCATCTTCCTCATCATAATTGCCACTCACTCTGTACTCAGTGATATGTTTAGTGCTGATCATATATTTTTGATCCTGTTCTCTGTTCTTTGATTACAGGAATAAAATAAGTACACAGATTCTGGTTTCTTAAATTCTATCCCCAGAGACTTTAAAGGTGTCTTAAGATTTGTTATTTCGCCTCAGGGGAAACAAACATCTGTGGTCTTCCTGAATACACTGACCTGGAAATGAAAGCTGTCTTTAGGAGGAAAATGTGTTTGAATGTATTCAAAGCAGGCGTCTCTAAATGCACTTTGGAGGATCTTGAGCAAACTGTATGCCCAGAAGGGGAAGCTGTTTATTCTAAAAAAGTGTTTCGGATGTGTTGATGCTTCCTCCCCCATCTTGACCGTGAAAATCGTGTTTTCACGGTCAAACATTTATCCAAAGCATCATCCGTAACTAACCAGGAAGCAGCAGCCAACTCTGACATCTTTAAAGCATGAAGAAGAGTGTTTGGCTTCATTTTCTTCTTTTTACAGTAAAAAATGTGTCATTTTTACTGACACTTCTTTTCTTTTACATAATCCAGCATTTATTTGTAGCCACTTCTTTAATTTAGTGAGATAATTTAGCAACTAAATAGCATGTTTCATGTCTTTTCAGGGTCAAACTTCCTGGTTAAACCAGAATATTAATCATTTTAAGGCCAGTGAAGCACAACTATTTTGGGTTAACACATATTATTGAAAGTTTGCTGATCATAAAACCCAATCCTAAATCAAAACAAGCATTTCACAGTTACAAAACACAATATGATTTCTTTTTTACACAGTAACATTATTGCCACAACAATATAATATAATCAATACAATATAATCGTCCAATATTGTAATTGATTCATTATTAACTGGAGGATTCAGGCTCAAAAAAGGCCATTTTCTGGAAGAGCAACAAGAAATTTAGGTCTAGTTTGTAGTTCAAATACCTTGAAATAAGACAAAAAAAAAAAAAAACTAACCTAAAAGTAACTTTCTAGCGAAATTTAGGAGCTTGTTATAAAAGTACGTAGTTCCTTAATATTGAGGAAAAAGTTCCAGTTCCACTGGCAGATTATTTCAGTTACAATGTCGGAAAAACATCTTGAGTGAAATAATTCGTACTTTTTTGTTCATATTAAGAAATTATTTACTTTAAACAAACCTATATTTATTTCCAAAACATTTGCTTTTAAGTTTGTTTTGCTTTATTTCAAGTGTAATAAGATATTTGCACTAAAACCTGGTCCAAAAATACTTGGTGAGATTTAGTGTTTTTGCAGTGTTTTAGATCAGCCTACCTCTTCAGCATTAGCTTTGGCTAAATAGCATGAGGGTGTTGTACTTTAACGCTAGCGGTGCTAATGTTTGAAATTGGTGCTTTTGGGATTCTTCAAATACAAAAACAAAAGAAAATAAATTATCCAAATACATTTATATATTGCTCTTTATTTGTAGTGAGCTAAAGTATTTGCAGTAGAAACTAAACCAAAAATACTTGGTAATATTTAGTGTTTTTGTAGTGAAACTCAGGAGATGGGTGTTAAAAGGTTTGATGGGGGTTACCTGCGTCCAGCTGCCTGTTGTGGCCCCTCACCAGGTAGCTGAACTCCTGGCACTGTTTGCTCTGGCTGTAAACTCTCTGGGAGTTGAAGCACAGCTCCTCCAAAAGCGTCAGCGCCTTCTTACACAGGTCTTCGTCCCAGTCCCCCGACATGCTCCAATCCGCATCGCACTCCCACCGCAGCAGTCAGCCGACGACAGCGCCGCCCTCGCCGCCCTCACCAATCGGACGGCCTCCTGCAGAAGCACAGTGCCGGCCGGTCCACCTCTTTTCACAAGGAGTCAACTGGAAAAGACGATGCAGGAAGAACAGCAGCGACTCTGCGGGGGGTCCTGTCCCTGAAAGACACGGAAAATCAAACTTCTGGCTCATTTATCACCTTAAAATGCTAATCTTACAAACTATTATTGGTCTAGTTTCCAGTGCAAATATGTAGGTATAACATAAAAGTAACTTTTCAGTCAAATATAGAAGCTTCTTTTAAGTCAATAACTTATTAATTTTGATGGAAAGCTTCTGGTTAAACTTGTAAAATGGGAAAAATATAATTGATATAAATCATCAAAATTAAGGAATCATTGACATAAAACAAACTACTAAGATATTTACAATAGAAACTAGACCAGAGTATGGATATTTTACACTTTAACTATACAGTGAAGGGATACATCACTGCCAAAACTCCAAATCTTACTAATATTTTAATACACAAGAAAGACACAGCAAATCACTTATCGCTTTACAACGCAAAAACATTAAATCTTACCAATTATTTTTGGTCAAATTTATTCTTTAATTTGCACCTTACGTTCTTACAAAAATAGCATTTTCTTTATTTAATCAAAATATGTCTTGCTTAGTTTACTGCTGTGCAGGAAAACAAAATTCTCAATTGAATCCTTTTATGATTTTTTTTCAATGAACTTATGACTGGAAGTTTTTAAATCAAAATTTAGAAGTTATTTACTTCAAACAAGCTTTTATATCTTGCTGAAAGGTTACTTGTAAGGCAGTTTTGTGTAGTTTTAAGCATGCTAAGATGATGCCAGAACAAGGCCTTCGATTCACTCTGCAGACTAAACACTAATGTATTTTCTGTCTCCACCAGAACAATTACAGCTGCTAATTTCTGCAAATGCTGGTAGAAAATTAACATTTGCTTCTCCACAGATGTGGGGGAAAGAAAAAATACAACCTCTTTAAATTTTAATGTTTTACATCTGAGGACAAAATAAAAAGGATCTGGTATTTACCAAGATGGTAAATTAATTAAATCCTACCTCAAGCGAGAAAAACAGAGCACAACAGATTTCATTATTTATTAAAGATGAAGCCAAAACGAGGAAACTATTTATGATTTAACAGCTTTTAGGCCCACCTGTAGCAGCGATTGCTCCCGGTAGTTCTGACTTTATTAGCCTCTCACGTCATTAAGGAGGGATTTAAATAGTTTGTCGCATTCTGGACAGATTTGAGTCTAAAATGCTGAAAGACTGTGCAAACCAAAGTCACATAGCCTTTTTAATTTAGAGTGAAGAAGCTTTCAGAAAAGTCTGATTCACTTCCTGAAGACCAACAGCACAGGTATGTGTGCAACAACAAATTTGACTCTATCAAACATGTTACTGACACACGCACTGCAAAAACACAAAATCATTAGAAGAAATAAAATCAAGGATAAAAGAAACATGTAGAATTTTCTTTACTTTTAAAGAAGCAGTTTTGGGCTCCGCTAACTAAATAGCTAGTTGTGCAATTTCTAAAGCACTAATCGTAACCATTAGCTTTGCTAATGCTAAAGTGCTATACCTACATGGTACTTAGCAGAAGCCAATGCTAAAGCGCTAAATTGAGCTATGCTGATACCCTTCACACTGCAAAAAATACAAAATCTTACCAAGTACTTTTGGTTTAATTTCTAGTTCAAATATCTACAATTAAAATAAGACAAAACTAACAAAAAAAGTAGCTTTTTAGAAAATATAAAAACTGGTTTTGAGGCAACAATTTCTCAATATTAATGAAAAATAACCAGCCAGTGAAACAAGACATCTTTAACTTACAGTATGGCAAAATGGCTTGTTCCACTGGCAGGTTATGTCATTTCTAACTAGAACTTTTTAATCAATACTGAGGAATTATTGACTTAAAACAAGCTCCAATATCATGCACAAATGTCACACTTATGTTATTTTTGTCTTATGTTTAGTGCACGAAGACATTTAAACTAAAAACTCGACCAAAAATAGTTGGTAGGATTCTGTTTTTGCAGTGCTGTGAGTATCAACAAAGATGAATGTAGCATTTTAGCATTCGCTTCTGCTAAATACCACGTTAGTATAGCACTTTAGCATTAGCAGAGCTAATGGTTAAGATTAGTGCTTTGGGAAGAGTGCAACTAGCTTTTTGCTTGCGGTAATCACAAATCTCCAAATACATTTACATTTCCTCTGTTGGTTATATATTTATTACATCTTACATCTGGGTGCCAAGTATGTTTGAAGTCGAAGTCACAGTCCCTGTCTGTTCACTTAAGCTGATTCTGAAATCCAGTGGAAGGACCAAGGGTGTACTTAGTTTTTCCACACAAACCTGTTCAGTTATTTGCTCTTTTTATCAATTATAATTGATTTGAATCTGCAGTGTGTTCCAGTACATTCGCAGTGGATTAAAAGAACCACAGACCAAGAGGTGGATTCAAAATAGGGGTGTACTTTCTTTTTTATCACTGAATCTACAAAATGCGTTCAGAAAATTTGGTTTTCTATTTTTGCTTCCCACATATCATTATTAACTATTTAGCTTTTTACCTTATTTGAAGCCAGATTATTGAATCAACAGTTTGCACGCCTAATTTCACAGAACCATGCTGGCAATTACCTCCTGTGGTTTCAGTGGAAGTGTTGGTGTCTAAAACTGACCAGAAGCTTTCTGTAATTACACAGCAATTTACACAATTATAGGTTCTCTTAAACTGTGTCTCTGAAACATGTGGTGGAGGCAAACAGAGTTAAATAAGTAATTTGTATGTTTTTTTTTCTTGTTTAAAGGAGACCTATTTTGCGGAATCCACATGTTGCACGCTTTTGTACAAACATTTAGGTCTGAACTGCTCCAAGGAACAGTCCGAACACTTAAAAAAAAACACTGAGTAGTTTTATGATAATAAGTAAATTATTTCTGATGTCTAAAAAACGAGCCATTTCAAAAATCTCCCAACTTTTGAGATTTTTCATCAAATTCCAGTCATTGGGTTGTTACCTAGCAACTCCAGCTGCATTAAGGCCTGTTACCTGGCAACCTAAGTTCCGGAATATTTGGTCAGCTGGTTTTACCGCTGTACAATGGCTGCTGGAAAAGAAAAATGTTTTCCTTTTGACTTGCTATTCAGATACCACTTGTTACATTCTTTTTGGTTGCACAGGAGGCTCCACTTCTGCTTTTCAACGATGTACAGTTGTGTGACTGTTTGCAGCCATTTTCACTATTCGTTCAAACATTTATGTGGAGGGCGTATTGGATTTAAAATGACAGGACACCCTAAAACAGTTAATTCTAAACTGACTAAACTAAAATCTCAAAATGACTTTGTCCAAAAAAAAATGTAATAATCATGTTTTGTATAGGCCACATATCGATGCTAACCTGCTCAATGAGGCATTTCAGATCACCTCTAAAACTATTAGATGAATTTGCTAATTTGATAAATTTAAAAGAATAAATTTTAGATTAAATTTGAAAAAAGAAACAAATAAAACCTTACCTTCTTCTGGAATCAACTCTTGTTGGTCATGCTGAATTTGGAAGGCAGGTTTGAGTGAAAGTTTCTTGGATAGAGGAAATGGATTTATCTGTGGTGTGAATTCAAAACCATCGTTCTTCACTGAGAGGTGTGAACAGAGCAGGCGTGTTTAGCTCCAGCAGGACCGCGAAGCATGCATCGGTGAAGTCCGTTTCCTCCACCAATCCACCTGGACAGGAGGCTGACTTCTCAAAGACTGTGTGGAAACCCTCCAACTGCACCTGCAAAGTAAAGAAACCCAACCAATCAGCAAGAAGTAAAAAATAAAAACATACTCATGAAGTCTGGCTCTTTCCTGTCCTTTCATCCAACAAACGCTGGCTTTTAGTTCACGGTCTTCATTTTTTGGTCTCATTCTGTCAAAATAAAAACAGGTCAACACTAAAATGTTTCTCTTTCCCAGAGTCTGCGCCTCCGGGGGCCCTGGCCAAACATAATGCATGTAAAGATTTATCTAATTATTCAAATTTGAAAAAATAAAAACAACCTTAGTTCTTTGCAAAAGTCCTGAGTCATTCCTCATTTCTTTCTACTTTGCCTCCAAGCTGCAAAGTTATCATGTTTTAAAGTCATCTTCATCGCTACAGGTTTTCCTTTTAAACTGGTCTACCTTTTACTCATTTCTTGTTCTTTCTTCACTTAGCAATTGAGGAATGTGGCCCAGATGAGAAAAATTAACTTCTTCACTGCAAAAACACAGAATTTTATAGAGTATTTTTGGTCTAGTACATTTCAAATAAGGCAAAACTAACTTACAAATAACTTTTCATGAAGCTATAGGAGCTTGATTTAAGTAAACAATTTCTAAATATGGATGAAAAAGTAGCAGTTCCACTGGCAGATTATAAAAAGACATTTTTCCCGCGTTACAGTGAAACAATCTCATCAATGGAACTAGTATTTTTTCATCAATAATCAGGAATTATTGACTTAAAACAAACTTCTAAATCTTCTAACATTTAAAACCTCAACAAATGAAATTTTACCATGTACCTGTAATATAATTTTTAGTACAAATCTCTTAGTATGCTTGAAGAGAAAACTGTTTAATTTTTCAGCAAGATATTGGAGCATGTTGTGAGTCAATAATTTATTAATATTGACAGAAAAGTTGTAGTTCCTCTGATTATTTTACTTATAACAGGACTTTTCCCCGTGTAGAAGAGGAACTAGTACTTTTTGTCAATATTAATAAATTATTAGGTTAAAACAAACTCCTACATCCGGCTGAAAATATATTTTTTTCTAATTCAAGTGTAATAAGATATTTGCACTAAAAACCAGACCAAAAATACTTGGTAAGATTTTGTGTTTTTGCAGTGTGTAAATATTCTGACTGGCAGAATCTTGAGTTTTTATAAAAATTATGAAGCTGAGCAGAAAAAAATGCCGGAAATATTGCACTCTGTGTGTAATGAATCTATATAGTATACGCATTTAAAAAATGAGGGTTGCTTTGAGACGTTAGCAGCGTCCCGTAAGCCCAGCGGCGGTGAGCGGAAACGTGGACAAGCGGTGCGGCTGAAGAATGAATCAGTGGTAAAACACGGCGTCCATGATGAGAAGTCAGCTCAGTTCCCCACTCAGCTGTTTCGTCCTTGTAAAGACCAATTTCTCAAGCGAGGTGACGTGTCAAACAGGAGCAGGACTATCGATCATCTGATGTATGTTGTTCTGTGAGATGTCAGCGTCAGCCGAGTGGCACCTCCCTTGCAAAGTGGTCCTCCAGTGTCCATCTGTCTCCTGTCTATCAATCAATCGCCACATTACGTAAAGACATATTTCACTCACTGAACATCGTCTGAAACAAGAAGTGCTTCCACTCAATCTCTACTTTCCCCTTTGGTCAAGTCTAGTCAATTTTAGCTGTCCATCTGGTGCAAAAATATTACAAACGAAGGAATCACACAGAAAAAAACAACAAATATTCCAGAATGAAATAAAAGGGAAAAAACAGTATGTAAATATATATGCAGATTTTTGTATTCTATTTTTTATATTGAGAAGCGTTTGTGGGGACAGTTAACTGAAAAGCTATTTGCGCTTCTAATTTTAAACATTAGCTCTAATGCTAAAGCGCTAAATTGATCTGTGTTGAAGACCACTACGCTACAAAAACACTTAATCCTTTGTAATACAACAAAGAATAAAAAAGAACCATGTGTAGATTTATTTTCAGAATTTATTTCCTTTTGTTTTTACATTTAAAGTATCTGTTGGCATCTCTGGCTGAAAAGCTAATTGCGCTACCCAAAAAACCTCTAATCCCTAACATTTGTTCGGCTAACGTTAAAGTACACAACCCACCCAGTATTTAGTCAAAGCTAATTCCCCTCTATATCAATTATTGATATGGAGGGGAAAAAACTATTAAATCAGCCAGTAGAACAAAATATTTTAACTTATAATATGGGGGAAAAAAATGTTGTTCTTCTGGCTGATTATTTTGCTTATAACCAGAACTTTTTCATCAATATTAAGAAATTCTTTACTTAAAACAAGCTCATATTTCTTGTTGAAAAGTTAGTTTGTCTTATTTCAAGTGAACTAAGATATTTCTTAGAAAGTATACCAAAACTACTTGGTAAGATTTGGTGTTTTTGCAATGCAGCATCCATGGCAGAATAACACGTCCTCCTTTTCCATTAGGAAAGCAAATTTGTTTGAGTGACTTAAAGCTGAAGATATCTCAATCCGAAGAACAGGCGTCTGGCAGAGAATCAGGCTGCTTTCAATGCCAGCTGGAGCATCAAGACGGAGAAGCAGGAAGGAAAAGACAGAAAGATGAGGAAATCTGACTGAAAAGCTGGTGGCAAAGAAATCTACAAATCATTCCGGTTTGGAGACCACCGATACCAGAAACACATGTTCCTCCAGTGGATATCAGAGCAACAGTAAAGCTGCCACAGCCTCTCCATTGACTGCCGGGATCAATACTCCAGGGGAATAAATACGCCACATCATGGAGCAGCCAGAGCAGCAAGGTCACCGTCCGGCTGAGCGGCGGAGACAGGACGGCGTGCAAGGTCACCGCCTCGTCGGGCTGCGAAGGCAGTCGAATCAACCACATCCAGTCGCACAGCGGCGAACAAGATGAGATCAGTGTCCAATCAGATCAAGAGCTAAATCTGGATGGATAAAAAGTAAAAAGAAAAAAAAGGGAGCACTCAGACCGGATAAAAGCAGCAGACAGAAAGCTGCTTGTGGAGAGATACATAACCGAGCCTCCTTTTCCTTCTCAAAAGTATTGCATTCCCTCGCAATCAAATTGCAAATACACACTGGACTATTGCGTATACATTCACATTTATAACAAATGTCAAATTAAAGAGGAAGCATGATACAAAATTCAAACTTTGCACGTTTTTGTACTTCCATTTGAGCTTCTACTGCTTCTATAATCAGCCCAAGCGTTTTTTGTTTTTTGGTGTCTGAAAAACGAACCGTTTAAAAACCTTCTGAAAGTAGCGTCACAAATTAGCAGTTCCTCTCCTAGCAACCCCAGAGAAGTGCAGACCGTTACCTAGCAACCCCAACAGTTCCACCCGTTACCGAGCAACCCCAGCTGAATTCCAACACGTTTGGTCAGCTGATTTCACCCCAAATGTTGACATATTGTCCAGAAATCACTTGCCACATTCTTGCTGGTTGATCAGGAGGCTCCACTAATTCTGTTCAGAAATGTACAGTTGTATAAGTTTTGAGCCATTTTCACTTGCGAGTGTAAAAGTTTAATTGAAATCCAAACAAGCGGCAGATTTTTTTGGGATTTAAAGCAACAGCAGCTCATTCTGAAATGACCTCACAATAGGCAGAACTGAGCAGAAATCTCAATATCTAAGAATAATTTTATGGAAAATATGTACTAGTAATTTAGCCAAAACTGTAAAAATAATGTATACATTTTGCATTTAAGAATAAAAAAACTGTCAGTAAATATGTTCAACTTCTCAAGTATCAGTTTCAGCTTTGGTTCAAATTCTGTAAAACTAATTTCTTTAGCACCTTTTGCTATCCAATTACTAATCAGTTAATCAAAAAAATAATAATACTAATAATTAACAAATCACCTCTACACTGTATTTATGCTAAGTCAAGCAAAAAGAGCTGAGCTTTTCACATGCTGATGTTAAAAATATTTATTTTAGATGCAAATGGATCCTTTCACTAAAGGAATGCTATGTATTTTAGGCAATAAAAAGTGTATTTTTTAATTAAAAAGGAATTAAATTGTTTATTTGCATCTTTCAGTAAAACTAATGTTGCAATTGGTCAATTCTGCAGATTTTTCATGTAAGGCTTCTAATCAATCGATTAATCACCAGATTATTTGATTAATTGCCAGATTAACTAAAATAATTGTTAGTTGCAGCCTTATCTGTAGTATATAAATTCAAGGATGCATCAGGAAGAAGGAGGCTGCAAGTTCAAATCTCCACAGATGTCCTTGAGCGAGACGCTGCCCCCCGCCGCCGCCGCTCCAGTTAAATCTCCCAGGATGGGAGCTTCAGTTCAATGACTCATTTTTAAAGCTGAGTGCAGCCATTACATCCAACCTTCCTGGTGATGAAGCAGATGAAACATTTGTGTCTGCATCTCCTTCTGATGAGGGGATCGTTTCTGTGCTCGAAAAGAAGAGGCGATGATTCTCCAGAGTCTTATTGCCGAGGCTCTCGCTAATGAATATATATCCTGTATTGAACTCGCTCCTTCAATTTGCTTTTCACACAGTAGATCCAGACAGTTTTCTTCCTCTTCGACCTGCAAATTTGATATGTCAGAAGGCAGGTTTGTTAAGACACAAGGATCCACATTGGACTCAGAGAGGAAGAGTTATTTTGAATTTGAGTGATTGCCATCTTTGATATCCAGAAGCTCAGCGAACATTTTATTGGTTTCTGGGCTTTAAGGTGACATGAAGTGACAGATTCGCCTTCAGGTTTTCGTTTTATGCAATGACTCAGAGCAACATCTCATTGGACGGACATGGAAAGACAACGTTCTCTGCCTACAGACTATAAAATTTTCCCTATAAATATGCATCGATGTGGCTGAAAAGCGGAAAACAACCAAACAGCCCTAAAAAGGTCAAATTTTTACAGGTTTCGAGGCGAACAATTATTAATAGACGCAAAATAAACATCAAGCCTAAAAATATAACACTGGACTCAATGTGTGGGATAAACTCAAACTCTGCTACGTTGGCTAGCGGAGCTGTTGT